CCAATCAACTTTACTTAATGTGAGGAGGTTCGTCTTTCTTTTCGTAAAGGATCTCGTTAACTCCGGTTTTGAAAATATTATTTTAAATTCTAGCAAAAGAATGAGTCTGACGTGACTGTATGTGAGGAGAAATAAATTCTAACAATCTTCAGAAAGACCGTCGTGTTGGAAAACACTTCAAACTCCAGCATACAGATCTATTAGAATACATTATTTGAGGAATTTAAAAGCGTATTAAATCACACACACACACACACATACGTGAGGCCTTTCTCCGCAAATTATGCATAGAATGAAATGCAGTGAAATTATTCCTGCCGGCATACTTTTTTTGTCGATATCAAATTGTCTTATTTACCATACTCTCCGACATTTAGGCACAATTACGCATAGATATGTATGTGTACGTGTGTTAGTGTGCATATTTTGTTGTGTTTGGTCATGTCCTGACAATTTTTAAAGCACCACTTCTCATTAATGAAGCTGAGTTTTCCTGTTTATATGAATGAAATGAATGTGGTTCAAGTGCTTTTAGACCATACTTAGATGTGTATGTATGTAAGCACACAGTAAAAGTAAAACATAAAGGTATGTATGTGTATGTTGATGAGTAAAATTACAGTCAAAGTGAACTAAGTATTTATTATGTTAACCACTTCGAAATATGAATGAAATGTAAAGCTTGTTATGCGAAGTCTGATTGGCGCTTAACTCTTAACAACTTCTATGCGTCGGTTCACCTACCTATAATGGAATAGAATACCATACGATTTAAAGGCTCTAAAGAGTAATTAGTTTACAAAATTCTTCTGTTTGGTAATTCCATTTAGGGACCGTATTTCGGTAAATACCGCCAAAATTGTGTGGGTTACTTCACTACCAAAGTTAACCATGACAGTTTAAAGACATCTCCATAAGTCAGGTATACGGGTTTTTCGTATTTATTTTAATTAAAAATAGGCAGTAAGACATCCATTATTTACAATCACAGACAAGAAGATGAACTATTTTTAGAAAGAGAGTCTTTCGGAATTTCATTAAGTTTTCTTACGTATTGACTGATAGAAGCGGTATAAAGTCAACCGGAAGTTCGATAATATTTATTAAGAGTGTCTCAAAATTAACGCAAGATTGGACTTAAATGGAAGACACAGTTTTTAGTCTTTCGATTGTAAGTTTTATATTGAATCATAAGATACATAAGATAGGGTTTCCATACACATACGCACTCGTTTGTCCTCCCTTAAAGCACGCGTGGTTGTGGGTTTGTTGCAATAGACCTTTGATTTTAAATTTTGACGGTTCCCCATCAAGGTGAAAATGTGCTTATCGCTTAGCCCTGAACTGCGGCCGCCAAGCTTTCAGTATTTTTGAAGTATTTTTAAACAATGAAGACACGTTGTTCTATCGTATATATATACTATCAGCTGTAGATTTGTTTTTTTTATGGTTGTCAACAATTTACTACATTAATGGTGGCAAATTTAAATCTTGCGTTAATTTTGGAACATCCGTGTTAGCTGTTTGGGGACTAAGGGAAATATTGACTAGATTTTGCCCATTTTTGGATCAAGGGCATGCTGCTGCCACAAAAATATTTTCCCAGAATTTGAGTAATAGAACTCATAGATTGGCCGATTTCTGCGGTAAAAAATCAGCTACATGTACTGGTACCACAGATTTGATGTCTGGGTCATTGACAAGTCATAGTCCGATTTCGACAATTTTTAGGCGTAAGCCGTAATACATTGAGGGCACTATTTCTGCAAAGTTTTATTCTGATAACTTTATTGATGTTTGATTTGTATACTGTAAAGTGAAAGAATCAGATGGAATTTAAAAATTTGTTATTTGAGAAGTAGGTGTGGTTATTCATTGATTCCGCCCATTTCCATAGTGCGCAATAGTAATAATAGGATAACCTCACACACTAAATTTGGTTCAAATTGGTTAAGTAGTTTCTGAGATATGGCAGTTCACCAAAAGTGGTGCCACGCCCATCGTCCAGTTTTAACACCGGCTCCCATAAAACCCTTTTTTCCATCCTGGCTGAGAAATTTAATGCTTGTGACTCTTTTATTCAGGGAGTTATCGCACTTTTAGTAATTTTCAACATAACTGTTATGTAAGTAGTGGGCATGGTTGTATAAAATTTTTTTCATTTTCACAGTGTATAAAGAAATGCTAAAAATACTTCTTCTCAGCAAGATTGGTTGAGATAGCTTCAGTGATTATGACGATATGTACATTTAGAGGGCGGGTCACGCCCACTTTAAAAAAATGTATAAAACACCGTGCCTTTCACCACTGCAATTCCCTGTACCTGTTTGTTTCTTATTCTAGTGCTTAGTTATGACAGTTTATAGCTTTTCGATTAATGGTGTTTTGTGGGCGTGACAGTAGTCCGATCACGCCCATCTGCAATGCCCGTACCCCCTTGGGTACCAAGAAACACCTGTTCAAACTGTCGGTTTTGCAAAATGGAACCGTAAATTCCTGAGCACTTTCATTCTAGACTCTGCACAGGAATTCGTAGACGCAGGTTCAAGGCCCTTGGATCCATTTATGTAGATAGGAATCACATCACGTCAATAGCGCCCAGCAAGTTCTTGGAATTCGTCAGAGTGCTGGGCCTTTGCAAATACATGTGATGGAGGAGAGGGCACAATAGACCCTAGGTCGCGGTGCAAACCTCAATTAATTTCTACGCTCTTACAAACACGCTAGAGACAATAAATTTTACACCCAGGATGATACAAGAGGCCTTTATAGGACCCAGGGTCAAATTGGACGATGGGCGTGACACCGCCCACATTTAGGTGAAATCACATATCTCCGGACATACTTACACAAATGGACACAATCGGACTACAACAACGCCTACTTCCCATATAGCACAATTTCAAATTCCATATAATCCCTTCACTTTCCAGTACACAAATCAAGTACCAATGAATATATTCAGATAAAACGTTGTACAAATAGTGTCTTTGAAGTATCTCGAGTCTAAAAATTCTGAAAATCGGATCATAACTGTTCAAGCGCCCACACACAGAATATGTGGAGCCCAGTGTGTATAGCTGACTTTTTGCCTAAAATATCGGTCCACCTGTATTATTTTATGTTCGGGAAAATGTTTCTTTAATATTAATAATTTTTTGTGCCAAAAATGGGTTGCATCGGATCAATAACTCCCATATCTCCCATATACCTAATAAAAAGATTTTTGAACTTCCAGTTGACTTTATACCACATGTAATAGCCAATGTTGGAGTTATTTTAAGGAAATTAAAAGAACGTGTTTTTCTAATTACAGTGTATCTTTGTGTCTAAAATATATAAAATCGGGCGAAAACTTGTCTTAGCCCCCATATAACTGATATTCACGATTTTGAAACGTCCGGCTGACTTTAATCCATATATATGTTTATACTTATATATATATTTATAAAATTGCTTGAAAATAAGTTCTCAAGTAAAATATAGTATGTAATAAAACTGAGTGAGTCTATGACCTTCAAAATAAGTTAATATGATACCAAATTTGATTATCATCCATTCACCATATCGTCGAGCAATGAAGTTGAACCTTTTCTCTACACTTCTTAATATAAAGTTTTACCAACACCTGCATTAAAAATATTCTTAAATATTTTGGAACAGTGTTTTTTTGTTGCCCTATCGAAGATACAAGAAGGAACAACATTTCCGGTATATTTCACCGTTTTACTATCAAAGGGATAAAAATGCAGTTCCAGAAAGTCGAAAATTATGTGATGTATGTTATACGGAGAAGATGGGTTGACCGAACGCCAATGCCAAAATTGGTTTGCAAAATTTCGTTACGGCAGAGGATGCTCCACGTCCTGGAAGGCCTCTTGAAGCCGATGTGGATAAAACAAAGTCGTTGGTCAATGCAAATCTTCGAATAACAACTCGAGATATTGCTGAAAGATTAAATTTGTCTAACGCGACCGTTCACGTTACATAATAAAAAAAATCGTGTTTAAACTTGCACTAAAAAAACGAAATTACTTAGGGAACGACAATATAATAACTCAAATAAAAAAATTGTCTTTTTTCTTTCGTCAAACTAGATCATTGACTAATAGAGGATTGCAATACAGTCTTTGACCGAAGCAGTTGGCCAATCCAATTCAATTTGCTAACAGCACTCACAAGGAAATGAAATTCATATTTATCGAGGCTTTCCCTTGCTTTAGAATGCCGTGGGCTCTACAATTTTCTTGTGCACTTGTTGTTCATTCTCGTTACTTGGCCGAGTAACCTTAGTCGCCAGTTTACATTGCCTATTGATACCGATAACTCTTCACATATTCCGCATAAATTATTTTAGATAAAATGATGAGAACGACGTGATAATTCCGGATGTTCGTTCCGTACAAACGATGACTTGAGTCAAAATTGGGATAAACTTATTTTTGTCTCTCCCTATTTGGCGTTATGCTATACATATCGGCTAATGAAGGAAATATAGCAATAAAATTTATCGAGAATATTTTGCTAAGCATAATGGGATTCAATAAGAAATATGATGGATGTTGTAAAATCTGTTGTTTAAGTTGATTTGAAAATAATTTTTTTTGCTGAAAAGTAAGATATAGTTATGCTAATAAGGGAGTATATTAGCAGCCCCAGATTGGATTACGAACTTTGTTATTGATTCATACAAAATTTTGGTTCTCAGAAGCCCTTAAAATGCGAGCCAAAAAATATTTAAAAAGATTGAAGTGTTCGAATTTTCTATATAAAATTGAGATTTGAAATATTTATATGTATATTCAAAAACGGAAAAACTATATATGGACTCAGTCGATGACACAACCTTTCCCCGCGTATGTATTTTATATACAAGCTATTAATAAAAACTGAATCTCTGAATCTCCCTGCGGTCAGGCAGTGCATGCGCAATGCAATGAGTAACAGAATGTGAGAGAGTGAAAGAGAGAGAGGGTGAACAGGCTTTAAAACGAAGCATACTTATAGGGGATGGAACTTTTGTTATTATTTATTTACAAATAGAGCGTTGTTCTATTAAATGAATTTTCAGTTCTGTTAAACATAGCTTGGTTGATATGACTGTTACAAAATAAATACATTTTAAATTTATTAACGTATAAAAAAAGTTTAATGGTCTAGTTAACCGAGTGAAAGTTATTGTAAGAGGAAAACACTCTGTGCAACAAATTATTTACATTACACCGCTCTCACAGGACTCGCACACTCTTTTGCTGTTTCAAGTATACAGACATTACTCCAACGCACAGTTACAAGTTCCTTTCTGTGTCGTGCGGCAGTACGACTTATTTTTTACTGCTATTACTTTTTCTATAAAGGCAAAGGTAAATCTATAAATATTGAATTGAAATAAATCCATAAACTCAAGAAGAGTAAGTTAAATGAAATATATTAATTTTAATTTATAAATTTCATGTTGAAAGGCTCCTGAAACACAAATTGTAAGCTTCTGTACTTGTTTCGTTAATTTGACTGATATTCGGATCGATATTTTACGGTGTAATAGTGGTTAGGTACCACAGTTTTAATTGATTGATTGATTGACGAGTGAAAAACACTTTTATGATAAAGTTTTTGAACAATTTCTTTCGTTTTCAATGAAAATAGTTTTTTTTAATAATAATAAAAATAACTGCATATGATTTTTCAGTTTTCTAACAGTCGAAATGTTTGGTTTCTGCGTTGGCATTTGCAAATATGAGGCACCCCCACCCGACACCATACTATCGATGCCACCACCACCCTTACCGTCATTTTTGTTGCCGAATATTGCCACTGCAGCAGCGCTTGTGTCAACTAACGACACCAATCCATGCTATGCGCCCTCACTGTGTAACCCCCATCCAAATCCCAACGAAGGCGAAGGCATTGAATTCGTCGAATTAACTGGCACCGATTCGAAGGTATTGGAAAACACTTGGGTTTTAGGCCTCATATCGTGTTCGGTCGGTGTAATTATTTTAGGTGGACTCTTTGCGTTCATAGTGTTGAAGTGCAGAAAGTGCGTACCTACAACGAATATATTTATATATATATATTTGATTAATTTTTTGTCTTATAGAACGCTGTTCTCCAGCTGTAATCTATCTTATCACGATTCGAATATTAAACAGAGTGGCATGAAATCGTTGGGTGAATCTTCAAATAAAGCAAAGCCCTTTACGGCTGGTGGCATTCTGTACCCCGTTGCTACAACCAATAATCGTGACACTTTGCAATCGCAATTAGCTAATGACAGTCGCCTGCTTTGGGCCACATTAACTCCGCATGGCACAAGGCACTTCATTTCGGACTATCCAGTGGGTAACGGTAATGGAACTGTTGTGCAAGATGGTCACTATGAGATTGTAGACTATCGCTCTAAAGTGCAGAATCCCACATATCGTGAATATACAAAACGTGTGCCAATAAAGGTAAGTAAATGTAGAAAAAACAATCCTATAAGTATGCTGGGTTTGAAATGAAAGTTTTTAGGTAGGGCCAGGAAATATAGATCATAAAACCTAAAATTATTAATTTTCCAACAGATCCCTCGATAGAATTAAAAAAAAAAATTGAGGAAAAAGACACCATTACGTAAATCTAAATATTTCCCGTTTTGGTTGTAGCAAATTCTAAACTGACAGAAAATATCTTTTCGAATAGCCTCAAATATCGGAATGCTTTTTTGTCTTAATAATAGTTCTTCAGCGATTTTAATGAGGCTTGAAACTAGTACGTACACGACAAATAGCATATGGTATATAACTAAAACTGAAAACGTAATCGGCCAACAGTTTGCAACCAAAAGAAAACGTGTTGCTAGTTCTTTTAGCCACGTTGTTTGATATAAACAATCTCAAGTCGTGTTAAGGTTACATACTAAGGTCTATCATGTAGATCTTTATCTTAATTTTGATCGGTTTGAATAACAGCTTGAATAACAGCTATATGCTATAGTGGTCAGATCTGAGCAATATATTCGGAGATTGTAGCTTTGTCTTGGACAATAATATATGCCTAATTTCGAGATATCTCGTTAAATAAAAAAGTTTTCCATAAAAGACTTAATTTTGATCGGCCAGTTTGTATGGCTATATGTTATAGTATACTTGGGGTGAAAATAACGTGTGCCAAATTCTAAATCGATATCTCGAAAACCGAAAGACTAGTTCGCATATATACAGACAGATGAACAGAGGGACAGACAGACAGTCATGGCTAAATCGACTCAGCTCGTTACGCTGATCATGTTTCCTTCTAGGTGTAACAAATCTCATGGTAAACTTAATAACAGAATATAAAAAGCTAGCAGAGGTATAAGCACCTGTTATTTGAACAGAAAGTTTTAGAAAAGGGGTTTTTTAACGATGTGTCATGGTGGGCAATGTCAAACCATCGCGTATTTTCTGCATTTCTTAACTGTTCGAAGACCCATCATTTATCAGATAAGATTAAAATGCACAACACAAACGCGCGTGCAAATTTCTTATAGTCAGTTATATTTGCTTTTAAAGATAAAATATCATCAAATGTATCAAGTGTAACTAATTTAAAAAGAAAAATATTTTCATGTCTGTAGTCCTTCGACAACAGTGGCTTCGTCGACTATGACTATGAAGATCCCACACCACTTATGGATTCCTATCATGACGATTTGGATTCTGGCTATCAGGAGCCACAAGAAGTGCTACACACTCTACAACGTGTCTCACCACGTCCTGTAGTGTCATCACCAACACGTATTGACAATCCGAATATGGCACCGCTCAACTACTATCCATCACACCGTTCCAATCATCACTTAAATACCAATACACTACAATCGAATCACTCAGCAGCCACTTTAAATCGCAAAGCAACAATGACACGTCGTATAAGTGATGCTTCAATCTATGGACCAGCTGCCGGCGCCACACAGTGAAGTGTAAACAGTGAAATTATATAAGTTGTGTAGTGAACCGCACTCCAGTACAGTTAGTACAGTGTGGAAAAAAAGTGTTGAAATTATAAAATCGTGGCTTCTGTTAATAAAAGCAAAATAACATAAAGGAAATGTTAAATTTGTATCGTTATACAACAACAAACACGTACAACGAAGCGCGAATTTGAATTTGAGTTAGAAAATGGGTCACAAAGGTACTATATTGAGATGAAATAGATTTTGGGTATGAAATCTATTTATTATCAAATGGTGTTTTTTAATAACAAATCAAACCAAAATAATTGATATTAAAGCAAATCAAAATATCAAAGCATTTCGATATCATTAATATGATAACTAGTTTCGTACTTGTATAGCGCATTATATAAACAGTTATAATTATATGTCAGCATATGTACACAATACATTTATCATATGAAAGCAATACTGTCGTAAAAAATTACTAAACTTGCATTACTCATTGTAATATTGCATTTAGAAAACTAAATTACTTTTCCTATAAGAAATACTAATGGAATATTCATAAAAAATGTGAAAAAGTCTAACATTTCAGAAAAATCAGACAAATACACAACCGCAATACTTGAATTGAATTACATATACTATATATAATACGCAAATTCATGGAAAAAATAAATTATTATAATAAAAAATAAGCTTACGCTTTATAATACATAGAAAATAAGCAGTTATGAACCATTTAAGTAAATAAACGCTTGACGCATATTATATCTAAGGAAATTAATATAAAAACAAATAATAATATTTTAAAATTAGTTAAGCAAATGCATTCTATGTTTAACAATATAGTTAAATGAAAATATAACTACAATAAACCATAATGCATTCGTGCTACATCATACTACTAATAGTATTTACATAAAAAAATTAAAAAAGTAGAATAAGTCACTGAAAAAATTTTAATTTCAATGGGGATATTGAATAATTACATACCTTAAGAGTAATATCATTATGCGTATGTAAGAATTTCATAAAATTATAAAATGACGGCTTTCAACTGATCTCTTAACTCGTAAGAATAAGAAAATTAAAAAAATTATAAAATCAACACAAAAATAATAATAATATTGCAAATACTCATACTCTAATATTCCTACACATTAACACGCAATCACTACAGTCACATCATTAATTCCTAAAAAGACGTTTCATGAATCTCTAATAAATATATATAAAGATAATGTTGGTACACATGTCCATATTTGTATGCAAAAACAAAAAAAATACTGAATTCAAACTTAATTATACAAGCTTTAAATATTCACATTTAATTTTACTTGAAACTGTGAGTTGTGTTAATTTTACATATTCGAATAAAAAAGGAATTGCAATAGCACTCGTAGCAATAAGTAATGCTCAATCTGCGTATTTATGGTTACTTTAATTTGTTGAATTTTATGAACTACTATATTTTATGGGAAATAAGACCATTAAAAACATAATATGCAGTATAAAATATTAATTACTTATATTACATGTCTACAGTTTAATGTACTTCTATGTTGTATCGCTATATTCCTATTTATATACTGGAGATAACAAAACTAAATTTAATTCAAGATGATTTAATAAACTGTGGAAACAAAAAAAAAACAGCGATTTAATTTCTTCTAAAGCTTTTGTTGATAATTTATTTTATTAATATATGTAAAGGGAAATCGCACAAACAAGCTAAAAGTTGCAAATTAATTGCTTTTCTTTTACTTGAATACGTGGCTACAAAATTTTTTTAATAGCGGAACTTCTCTTCAGCAAACATTGAGTGTCATTAAAATATACATTAAAACTCGACCGGTAGGTTTACATACACTTCTTTGTGAACTATTGTACTATCACTAGTTTATATAAAAGTCTATCTTTGAAGCAGTGGGCACTGCATAAGAGTCAAATTGTAATATTGAAAATTCACTTGTTGATCGCACGATACCGGAACTGATTATTTCATATCTCACCAAGTCTAATATATACATCTAATTGAATAGAAGTTATTTCCCACTATTCAACTTGTTAAAACATATAAAATTTGAATTTATAAATACTCGCACCGGAACTGTTTTAGGATTCGCTCGCGAATTAACTTTCAAGAGCGGGAAAAATAGTGACAGTTAGTGGCAACACTTTAAAATACTCTTATTTTACATTCATATTAAAATATTTGATACTGCAATATTTCCTCATTAAAATGGTGGAATCAATGTTTTGTTAAAATTAATATAGGCATATTATTTAACCTATATTAATTAGTTTTACCACTAAAATGTATACATAACTGGTTAGATCCCTTGCCCTCGTAGTTATTTAACGACGTCAAATTTGTTATCACAGGCGCCATTATTTTCATTGGGTATTGTGTCTGGCAATGCTGCCAAGTGGAGAAACCATCAAAGGAAACTTTCCTCAAGAAGTGCCTTAATTTTACAAATAATTGCTTTCCAAAGCAATTAATGTGATAAAATATTAGTTAATTCCAATTTTTTGATAGCAATTGTGAGGAATGTGGTTGGGATATCGCTTTTAGTAGTTCGACAAATGTTACATATATGTGGACTAGCTAAAGCGGATGGAGTGCAGTTTCATAGAAAGAGAAAAGGAAAACGCAACAGAAAAATAATAAAAAAAAAAAAAAATTACAGGAATTTACACAAATAGATAAGTCCAGCAAACAAGTGATTGACCAGAAAACATACAAACATTATATTTTCACCTTTAATTTATCTACATACTAACATAGCATACAGCACTTTTAATAAACAACATGTTGAATTGCTTCAGCGCAATGATTGTGCCCACATTGGGTGAAATGGAACAAACCATTTGTATGCTTGAACGTGGTACAATTATCACTAAATTGTATTCCAAGCATCGTCCGGAACAACGGCGTCTGATGTTAGTGCGCGAAACGAGGCAGCTACTATGGTCGTCGGTTATGGCAGATACGCGTACTGACTACGAGGGCTCACTTGAACTACGTGAAATTCGTGAGATACGTGTCGGTAAATGTTCAAAAGAATTCCGTAATTGTGCTGAAGATTCAAAACGCTTTGAGCCGGCAAAATGCTTTGTTGTTTTACATGGCAGTTCATTCAAACTGAAGACTTTCTCAGTTGTGGCACTTTCCGAACAAGAGGCAGACAATTGGGTACGCGGTCTTCGATATATGATGCAGGACACCGTAAATGCACCATATCCTCTACAAGTCGAACGTTGGCTACGACGCGAATATTATGCCATTGAAAATTCAAGCGTACAGTCATCCAAAGATGGTGGTCAGGTGACAGTGAAAGATTTTAAATGTTTTCTTGCAAGTATTAGCTGCAAAATGACCACCAGTAAACTCATGGAATGCTTCTCTGAAGATGATGTAAGACGTAAAAATGATTTACGTTTTGATGATTTCTCACGTTTATATAGAAAATTACTGCTGCCGAATAATTTTCTTGAAGAAATGTTTTACTGTACACCAGGCACGTTTCCTTATTCAAAAGATGGTGAAACAGTTACATTACGTGAGTTCCAAAATTTCCTAGTGCAAGAGCAACATGAAATCATGGGACGAGATGATGCGTCAGTTTCAAACTTTATACGGGACTTTTTGCAAGATGTTGAGCGTGATGTGCAAGAACCTTACTTTACAATTAGTGAATTTCTTGATTATCTCTTTTCGAAACAAAACGATCTCTGGGACCGCAATTGTGATCGCATTTACATGGACATGAAGCAACCGATTTCTGCATACTGGATTGCATCCTCACACAACACCTATCTCACTGGCGATCAGTTTTCCAGTGAGTCTTCATGTGAAGCGTACGCCCGCGCATTACGTATGGGCTGTCGTTGTATTGAACTGGACTGCTGGAATGGTGCAGACAATTTGCCATATATTTTCCATGGACACACCATGACATCAAAAATTAAATTTAAAGATGTAATAAAAACGATAAAGGAGCATGCATTTGTAACTTCCGAATATCCAGTGATTTTATCCATCGAGCAAAACTGTTCTTTGGAGCAGCAGCGTAATATGGCGCAAGCGCTTACTGAAGTAAGTCATAAAATATAAAAAATTGTTATACACTGAACAGGGAAAATTAAGTTGGCACGAAATTTGTAATACCCAGAAGGAAAAGTCGGAGGTTCTATAAAATATATATGTATATAAATTATCAGCAGGACGAGTTGAATCGATTTAGCCACGTCAATCCATTTATTTAACTTTTCTTCTTGTTTTTATTAATGTTTATATTAAAAAAATTTCAGGTTTTTGGTGACATGCTGTTGACTCAACGTTGTGACCGCGCAGAATTGCAACTGCCTTCACCGCACCAACTGCGTCGCAAAATCATACTTAAGCACAAAAAACTGCCAGAATATGAGGATGGCTGCGCCGGTGGTCCGGGCATAGTAGGTGGCGGGTCTGGCGTGTTAACGACCAGTGGTAGCAGATCATCAATTAGTGGCGCTAACGGCGATGAAAATGAAAATATGCGAAATTTTCTCAAAGAGGGAATGTTATACTTTAAAGATCCCGTTGACAAAGCCTGGAATCTATATCATTTCGTATTAACACAACAGCAATTAATCTACTCGTCGCACATGGACGAAAACAACGCTGGCGGCGCCGATGACGATGACAATGCGGTGACACAAAATACATCTTCGGCGTTAATACCCAAATCAAAAGATAATTTTGCGAATGAAGAATTGCACTTTGGTGAAAACTGGTTCCATGGAAAATTAGAAGGTGATAAACCAATTAAATTATATTTTAAATTTAAGTATAATGTTTAAACAAATAATTAAGGTGGCCGCCAGGAAGCCGATCAACTACTAGAGGCTTACAAGCACTTGGGCGATGGCACATTTTTAGTGCGTGAATCGGCCACATTCGTTGGTGATTACAGTTTGTCCTTCTGGCGTCGTAATCGTCCAAATCATTGTCGCATTAAGTTGAAACATGAAAATGGCGCAACCAAGTATTATTTAGTCGATAATTTCGTTTTCGATTCACTCTACTCACTCATTGTGTACTATCGCAAAAATATGCTGCGCAGTTCCGAATTCTCAATCACCTTGAAAGAGCCTGTGCCGCAACCGAAAAAGCACGAAACACAAGAATGGTTTCACCCAAACACAACCAAAGAGCAGGCAGAGCAAGTGCTTATCAAACTGGACGTGGGCTCATTTCTGGTACGCCCATCAGTACAGAGCACCAATGCATTTGTCATATCATTTACAATAAATCGCAAAATTAAGCATTGTCGCATAATGCAAGAGGGTCGTCTCTATGTCGTAGATACCATTCAATTCGAATCGCTTGTATCGCTAGTCAATTATTACATGCGAAATCCGTTATATCGTAATGTTAAGCTAATGTATCCGGTGTCACAAGAATTATTACGTCAGAAATTGCTCGCTTGTCAAACATCGCTGGAGCATCATAATAATGGTGGCGATTTCAATGATGCCTCGAGCTATATGGATCCCAGTCTGGATGATCGCGTTACATGCAAAGCGCTCTACAGTTACAAAGCTAATAAACCGGATGAACTTTCTTTTCCAAAACATGCTATCATTACGAATGTGCAGAGAAATACGTCAATGTGGTGGCGCGGTGATTATGGTGGCATGGTGCAACGTCACTTTCCGGCAAACTATGTGAAAGTAAGTTTAATACAATATTAATAAAACTTGTTGAGGTTAGTTAGATTGGGCTTTCACACGGACTCTTTTGTCGCTCATTATCAGCAAATTCTCTTTTGGTGTCGCTCGTTGAGTTCACATGAGCGACACGAGCGCGACAAGTTGAATCGGATAATTTTCTGCATTCTCTTTCATATCACATTCCTAAATTCTCAAAAATAGTTTTGATTAGCTAATTGCTATCCCTTTTATTTTATTAAATGTCTGAACGAACGATATGCTACGAACAGGAACACAAAGCGTGCCGCCCGAGCACGAGCGTTTTTATTTTTTCTTCAGGTCCTCGTCTAGAAAAAACCGGGCGACAAAAGAGTACGTGTGTAAGCCGGCATTGAGTGGTGATAATGTAAAATGATGCTACAGTCGATAGTCTATTCTACATCTCTCTCTACACCTTCTATTAATGCCAAATTAGTTGAGGTACCAATACAAGGATATATTGAGATTTTTTACAATTTTACAATTTCCCGTCAAAAAATAATTATCTTTTCGAATAGGTAATTGACTCTGCTGGCGATGACTACAACTCATTTAGCGACGAAAATAACTGTGAAAATATCTCACGCACTGATTCGATTGACATACATGGCGCTATTGTACACCTGTCCGAGTCTAACGAGCCAGGTATATTATTCCAATTGCAAATTCAGACACCCACAATGCAAAATTCCTTTATCATTGGTTTTGATAACCAAGAATTGGCTTACGAATGGATCAAAGCCATACAAGAGGGTGCGCAAATCGCCAATCAATTGGCTACCGAACGTCGCAAGAAAGAACGTTCCGCACGTGTGGCCAAAGAAATGTCCGATTTAATTATTTACTTCCGCAGTGTGCCATTCCGCGAACATTCATGGGTATTCTACGAGATGTCCAGCTTCCCCGAAACCAAAGCAGAAAAGCAATTTTTACAACAGAACACTATGCTCTTCCTACAATATCATCGCAATCAAATCAGTCGCGTCTATCCGAAAGGTCAACGTTTGGATTCATCTAATTTTAATCCGGTACCCTTTTGGAATGTCGGTTCGCAAATGATTGCACTCAACTATCAGACTGGCGACAAAGCCATGCAGCTGAATCAAGCTAAATTCCGTGATAACGGTAATTGTGGTTATCTGCTGAAACCGAAATTTATGCAAAGCGACAGTTTCGAACCGAATAATATGCTGGCGATTAGTTCACTTGAAGAGCGCTTTGTAACAATACGTATTATAGCGGGGCGTCATCTGTTTCGCGGCGGCAAATCCAATAATCCGTTAGTCACTGTTGAAATATGCGGCGCCAGTTTTGACACGGGCGTTAAACATCGCACCAAGGTCAGCGAGAACGGTTTTAATCCCTTTTGGAATGAAAGCTGTAATTTCACCGTGCGTAATCCGCATTTTGCGCTGCTGCGCTTCGAGGTGCAGGACGAAGATATGTTTGCCGAGACACATTTTATAGCACAAGCATGCTACCCGCTGAATTGCATACGCACGGGCTATCGTAGCATCACGCTGCGCAATAAATTCAGCGAGGAGCTGGAGTTGGCCTCCTTGCTGGTGCATGTGGACATTAACCATGCCAGCACCAGCGCAGCTAACGAGCACACAGTGGTTGTGGACTTCTGAAATGGTTGCTGTAGCAGTACCAAAGGGATTGTTGTGAAAATTTATTTTTATAGAAACTATTTACTTACATACATATACATGTTTGTATGTATTTGTTTCGTAGATGTTTGTTAACAAGTGCCCTTAATTTACCCAACGAACAAATGCTTTAAGGCATGTTTATACATACATATTTATTTTTAAACAAGTGAACAAATTTAATGATTTATAAGAATTACTGAAAAATGAACAATTTTCCAAAAGAAAAAAATGCATTTATGCAATCAAAAGGGAGATTTTTTTAAAATAAGTGCAAAACGTAACACAAATATAGCTTTTTTTCTCCACATTAAATGTGACTATGTCGAAACTTTTTCTTTTAGCATAGTTAAAGCACTGACAATTTCTTCCATTAACTAATTATTGCAACTCATACAAAGACTTAACATTTTACTATGTATCTACATTCTAAGCAAACTGTGCTTTTTCAAACGTACGCAGCTCTTATATTTTTATGTAATGCAGTTTATTTATGTGTGTGTATTATTAACAAGGGTTTTAGACAAATATACAAAAATAAATATATATACGTGCATATATAATATTAAATTTACGTTTTTTCACGAAAATATTTCACACGAGCGGTAAACCCCAAAATTTTATTTTTTAATAATACAAAAGAAAGTCTCAAAAAAATTATTTTATTCATATGTATGGATACAATTATATTAAATATGTAATTTTTTTCGAAAAATTTTCCACATGAACATTTGGTATAACCTCAAAAAATATATGTTTTTTTTTAATTTTACGACAATTAATTCATTACCGAATTATCAAAAAATTATTTGAATGAAATCACAAGTCGTAAATCACTGTTGCAGTGATACGGCCTTCTCCGTTGATGAAACCTAAAAAGCCACCAAAGAAGATATTGTCCGTAGAATGACCTGCGATCGAAAAAAATATCAAAGTAGACCAAATGGCAACGTTCTTGAAGAAAAGTTGAATTTTGGTCGTTTTTGGCCTGCCAAAATTCAGTTTTTGATCAAATCGAAAAACTGGTAGGGAACTTTGTGTGGAACTATACACAGAACATGCAGTGGTCGTATCATTTGTCTCCGGGTAATCACTGCAGCAAATTCGAAAAATTTTGAAAAAAACGCGATAAACCGATAAAACCGATTGAACTGAGCGGCTACCCTTTAGAAGCTTGTAACTCAAAAAATATTTCATATATTAATTTAAAATTCTGGTATGGTGTTTTTACAGGTATATATGCCAAAAAAATATGAATATTTTTTTTTTAAAAATTTCACACTATGCAAATAGAAGAGTTTTTTGTTTGGAATTCTTCCTCTTCAGAAATATATAAAAAAAAAATTTTAAGTTTCACGCATAAAACGATGCTTCCTAAAATGCTTTACACACACGCAATCTATTTACTCGTATTTAATCTCTATTGAGGTAAAAACAGTGTCTTAGCTAATTGAAAGTATACACATGCATACATATCACACACTAACTTCAAAAGTGTCGCAAGTCGAAAATTTTCAATTCGTAATACACTTATTTACCTACCCAAGAAAATGATTGTCATCACTATCTAGCTTAAATGGAAAATCAAAAAGTACTATTTGTAGTTGTGCCGCTATTGCTGAAATAAATCGTAAATCTTTTGCAGTATTCTGCGAAGTTGCGCCTTTTTATCTGAAAAAAGTGAGTCTGTATTATTTGAAATGTGTCACTTTCGATGTTATTCGATGTCTTAACTCAAAAGGTGTCTCTTAATTTCTCTGTAAACTGAAAAATCAATCATATTTGAGAAAGACGCTCTTTAAAGAAGATATTTTACATTATGGAAGACGATTTGACTGCAAAAATTTAATGTTTGTTATAGGAACGGTTTTTTGCTCCTCCTGAACATTTGTAATTTTTCGAGTGTGACTCTTTTGTGGTTAGTGTGCGATATATGTATATCTTCTTTTATATGTTCTCTAAGTATTTCAATATACATGAACACTTTAAGTTTACACAGATTATTTAACAAATCAGGTATTTGTAATTTCAAATATATTTTATTCATAAAAATATGTATTATGATTCTGCTATAATTTTTTTATGGTATCAACTACATATATAAATGTAAAAATATAATATGTGTATGCGTTAAATTAAACAAAAAATCACTTACAATATATTAACACTTGTATCACTTTAATTATTGGAAAAATATTTTCGCGCTGCACAAATTGCAATAAAGCAAATTGTATTCCATTTGGTGTGCGTTTATGCGGCGTTCGGTTAATGCCAGCGTTTGTTGCAGCTTTTCTGTTTCGTTATTTTGCATTGCCAATGCAGCTTTAGAATTGGCTTTTGTGCCAGTGCGTGTGTTCGTCGACTTCTTTATGTCCTGCAACATTTCCTGTATCTTAAGGCGCTCCGCATTGAAGCGTTCACGCACCGTTGCGAACCAATGTAAAGCATAGAAATCATCCATTTGATTTAATAATTTTAATATGTATGCTAAGCCGACCGCAAAACCATCATCGAAGAGCACCGCTTCCTGACGATCCTTCTTATTGATCTTCTCTTTGACGCTCAACATATGCTCGACATAATTGAGCGAGAGAGCCGGCACAATGAGAAAGAAGTTTTTCAAATGCAGATTATGTGGATTACGAAAGAACGGTTGGAATGCTTCAACAAGTAACTGTAACATTTAACATTTGAGTGAAAACTTAAGCATAAATTACAAAAAAAAAATGTTGCTTACTTTAAAATAATCCGTACTATCTGAGAAGCTTTTTACCAAATTATTAATATTCACTTCGAAATTCTCCGCCGCTTTCACGGAGACATCGTCCAATTTCTGCTCATGACAAGCAGCGGCAAATTGCAAATTCTCATCGAATTTAGGCAAATATAGGCTGGCGCTATAATTGGCATGTATGCTACCGGAGCGTACTAAGCGTATATAACCCATAGCGTTGCCTGTGCGTTATGCGCAAATATTGTGGAACATGTATTTGTGAAATATGTATATAATATAAATGAAGAGAAAATTCGTTCAAAAAACTTACCCACATGCGTTATGACCTTTCGGAAGAGATCCATATAAGTTTGTCCATCGTTGGAGAGGCCCAGCTTGCGTATATCTTTATTGAAAGCGTCGGCACGCTCGTACGCGTATACAGGATAACTTTTTGCCTGTTTGCGTTCGGCATATGCGCGTAGCTCTTTCATAAGCCGTGATTTGATTTGTTCATCGTAGAGAAATTGTGAGAAAGTATAAAATTTTTGTCGCAAAAATTGATATGTAAAATTGACGGTAGTATTTATGACACCGGTGCCGTGTGTGCGTAACGAATTGGCTACATGCCGTATGCCAATCGAATCTAAATGCTTATTGGCGCTCCTTTGTTCAACGAATATTTGTGTATTCATGTTATAAACGTACTTCGAGACGAATATATGGATTTTACGCATTATTTCTAAAATATCGATGCCCTGAAGAAATATTGCAGACCAAAAATATGAATTAAGAAGGGAAGCTAGTCGAGTTAGAAGCAAAGAACAATGAAGGTGCTATTATTATTTGTTGAAGGGATGCAAATTCGAGTGGCAAAAAAAAAAAAACCTTAACCTAGCCTAAAAAGATCTTTATCTTGATTTTTATTGGTCAGCCTGAATGGCAGCTATATGCTACAGGCGTCCGATCTGACCAATTTGCTTGGAAATTGTAGCGCTGCTTGGAAAATAATCTATATCGAATTTCGTGAGGATACATTGTCAAACATAAAAGTTTTCCAGCTACATATATGCTATAGTCGTCAGATCTAGGGGGTTCCGAAGCAGATTCCTGCGAGGCAAATGATGTGTGCAAATTTTCAGAACGATATCTCAAAAATTCAGGGACTAGTTCACGTTTATATAGATAGGTGCCTAAATTGACTCAGCTCGACCCGTTCCCACAACAGTCGGGTCTAAGTAACCAGTAACCATACCTGTTCTAATGTTTGATTAGGCAAATAATCCTCTACTGGTTTTAACATTAAACGCGTGTTAGCCAGATGACGCATCTCCTCGTAGGTCTTCCAGTCATGCAATGATATGGTGGTAAGATTATAAAACATGGCGCTTAAATAATTCTCGACGTGATCTGGAAACAATAGTTTATAATTAATTCATTTAAAATTACACAAAATATCTAGGCAGCTATTGTAATGTTTAAAACTTTGGAATCGCCGAAAACAACAAATAAAATTATATTTCAAAAACTATAAGGTCATTATACATTTAACTATTTTTCAAAACATTTACAATCTGGCTTTAGTTATACCATATAATTGAGACAAAATCTTCACTAACCTTTTAGAATCACATAATTTCCATTCAATTTAATGGGGCAGGCGTTAATCAAATCGCGGTAGTCATCAATGCCATGCTCAAATGGACTCATTTTCTCCAACTGTAAATTGGAGTGCACTTCCAGACGCAAAAACGTTTCGATTTGTGCACACAACTTGCTTACAATTTCGCTGCGTAAATTATCGTAAGTCACGCGTTCCAAACATTTAGATAATTTAAGGTCCTTCAAGTCCAATAGCTCAAAAGCATTACCACAATCGTTGAAAGCATGTAGAATATACTGTAATAGGACGGGTTACATATAATAATCTTTGTAGAATATACGGGCAATTCTCAATAGGGCCAATTTCTACCTGAAAAGAATTAAAGTCCAACTTTCGTTCAATGACTTGCTTCAAGTACGCTGAAAGCACTGACTGATGCCAATAGATGAATGTCGTATCACAGAGCTCATGCATGTTCGACTGGAAATCGGCTAGAATTGTTATACGAGACATAAGCAATTGAAAACGCTCGCACTGATCTTGCGGCAATGTACGATTGTTGAGATTCGTTGCATTCACCGCTAGTTTTGTGAGTAGAGTACGGGTTTTCGTTGGTGGACCCGTCATGCACTTCTCAGCGATGCGCAATGCGGCTAAAGCGTCAACGTTACGATTATGCATTTTGGCAGCCGTAATGCGTTTCTAACAAATAAACGTGTAATACTTTTTATTTGATTAAAAATTTCTTTTGTTTACCTTGCACAGGTTCAGCAGATGCAATACTTTATACTGTAAGTATTGCAAAACACATTGTATCACCTTTGCAATGACATCCATGTGCTCCTGGAATAGTTGTTGTATATTCTTCAGCAATTCAATTAGTTTACAGATGCTTTGCAGTGTTATTTTGGTCATTGGTGATTGTAAAGTCACGTGTGCATTTACTAAACCTTTGATCAAACAACTTATTTGCGATGCAAAACGCAGGCCAAGTAATAGTAAAGCTGAAAGTTCTTTGAACTGTTGTACGGTGAGGTCGAATGGACCTATGCTTAATGCTTTGCGTACATTTAGCGTCAAAAGCAGCACTTGCGAACAATAATGCCGGCAATCACGAGGCAGAGTTTGCACGCGTGTATGTAAATAATGTTGTTGAAAACGTTTTCCATCTCCCAAAAGGCGTTCATGTGGTTTTACCAGAGAAGCGGCATGGCGTCGCAGGAAGGGTGTTGGCTGCCAAGCTACATTACCAATTAGTATAATACCTTGATGCTTTTGATTGAGCTCTAGAAGATGTTTTACATGTTTGGTCTCGACTTGTCCGCAGAAATCATGAAAAACTACACAGAATGCATTCAGACGCACAAGTAGTTTGTGATCGCTGAACTCATTCACATCGCATTTGTTTATAGTCAACAAACACTGTTTCATATACTCATTGCATTGGTTTGTAAGTTGGCCAATACCCTTCGGACCGACCTTATCCTTTAGTGCAAAAGTGCTATCGAGGAAACTCTTAAAAGTAGAGATAACAGTAAACAAGATAATATCAAAAGATGCAAAGTGTTTACTTGGAAGATAGTGCCTGAGAAAAGAAAATCGAATTCCTCTAAGCAATTTCTTAAACCAATCAGTTCGCTAGCTGTGCAGAACTCCATGTGATGTCCATTTTGCGCTAATGCCTCTACGGTTTTCTTGTAAGTCTGCCAGAAACGGCAAAAATTGGAGCCAGCCAAAATTTCATTAAATATAAGAATTTGCAAAAGCAAATCTGCAAGGTAATCGAATACATCCTAAAAAATTTACACAAAATTAGCAAAATCCTTATAATATAGAACTGTATCTACCACAAAGCGAAACTCCAAATTTTTGTTATCTTCCAGTGCACCGTAGGCTCCACATTGGTGGAGCAAATTGTTGCCCAACACAATGCAACGCTGTAATAAGAATTGTATATCACAAACGAATTGCATAGATTCACTCATTTGCAGTAAAATTTCATTGGTTTGCCTTGCGGCATCTGGACCACCATTGCCATCTTCATCGGCAAAGAGTGTACATAAATTTTCATCAATATATATAAATTTGATTTGCATATGTTGTGCTTTGCGTGTTAAGGTATCCACCTCAGCGCAAAGATGAGCGAATGTAAGCAGCGTTTTGTTTAGCAAACGATCAGATTCGAGTAATCGTAGCAATATAAGCTGTTCCTGATTAGCCGAATAGTTTACTTCCACAAGAGGTTTGGTCAAAATCTTAAGAGTGGGTGGTGCTCGAGCTGATGGCACTTGTGTAGTTTTTTGCGATAGTTGCTGCAATTTCTTATCATGCAAGTCAAGGAATGTACCAAAATTTTTCAACTGCTCCTCAGCTGATGATACTGTTTTGATAAAAACGGAATTTCTAAGTTGTATTTTCTGATCAGTGATAATAATTACTTACTTATTGCCGCTTGATCCATCTTTATCTACTGAAACAATATTGTATAAATTGTTGCACCCAATTTTTTACAGAAATGCAGCAATTACAAAATAAAGATGAAATCAAAACAAAACACAAAATATACAAAGCTGCCACATTGCTATTGTTCTAATCCCAAATAAATTTAATGTTTAAAATTTTACTATTTTTTAATGTATGCATAGTTTTGTCATTCTATAAATAATTTTCTATATCTTGTTTGATAAAATATTATATTTACTTAAAATTTAAATAAAAAAAAAAGAATTAGGTATGAAATTAAAAACTAATTTAAATCTGCAACTGCAACTCTGCATCTATTGACACAGTTTTGACAATAGCGAATTAAAATGAAATTGGAAGAGAAAACTTATTTCCTCCGGATATTTGCTGTTGAGTAAAATTTGTATTAAAGTTATTGTGAAAGTCTAAAACTATAATATTTAGTCATCAGACTCGTTATCAAAAAAAAAAAAAAAATGGAATACCAATATTGAAACGGCGGTCCGGTGTGATTATCAAAAAAGTACAATCCGCATAAATTTATCAAAATGGTAGATTTTTTTTGTTAAATATTTTTCTTTCTATGTGCCTTGGTTACCTTTTATATTTCACTTCATTCATAGATTTTAGAAAACAACGACATTGCGGTTTTTAATCGTTTCGGAAAAAGTTGTTAAAATATTTACCATTGATTGAAAATATTGTAATTACAGTTATTCTAGTACCGTTAGATCTACGTTATAATGTGATTCAAGCCAGGACCTAAAACAAGGAAAATATTCATTCAAGAACATAAATAATATTTATTTTAGCAATTAAAATATAAATAACATATATGGAATAAAAACAATATTACATTTTGTTGTTATCATTGAGGCTGTAAGAAGCTCATACCACAAGCAAGGCGTGCCAATCATATGATCATACTCCCAACTAGTGTAGTAAGCCAGCAAGATGTGTGAAATGTCCGCGAAAGCATAAGACCATAGAGTGTCAACAACCTGATCACTATCAACCAAAATGTTGCAACTGTGGTGAGACTCATCCTACAAACTATGCGTAGTTGCGAAAGAACTGCAAAAGATTCGTGACCAAAGAACTGGTACATAGAAAAACGACACACATGCTAAAAATTCGTTTGACAAAAATGGAAAAGTCTCCCAAAAAGCCACAACACTTCAAGCAATTGCTGAAAAGCAACAGCAAGTAGGCTTACGTATTTTCACGTTGTTAAAGAGAGCACAATGATTCTAGCATTCTTCAACAAATTTTAGAAAGCCTTACAAAACCAAATGAGTTTACCACTTGCAAAGAGGCTTCATAAGCTTGAGTATAAAAACAATAAATAAATATAACTAAATCTTTAAAAAATTTTGCTATAGAACGCAAACGGCCGTATGAAACAGCAAAATGAGCTAGAAACAATGCTCAATACTGAAAAAATTGACGTATTCTTAATATCTGAGACCCATTTTAGCAAGCAAACTTACATTCAATTCAGAAACTTTGAAGTATATGCAATACTATTGTGTAATAATTGTGCATTATAATTAGAAGCAATGTCGTCTCTAGAGAAGAATTTCAAGCAATAACTTTAATTAGCTGAACACATAGACAACGACAAGCGACAGGCAGCATCTGTTAAATATTAACATACACGTTCTTATAGGCACAGTTAATTAGACAGCAGCAAAACTTCACTGCAGTAGGCTTGCAGTTGTCGCTGTCTCAAAATTAAAACGATGTCTAATATTGCCGACGACAATGGGCAGCTGTAGTGTTGCCACTAATATGACGACAGCGACAACCACTTGTCCCATACAGTGGTCAACAGTCCCCCAAGGCATCAAATAAAATGCGATATTTATTTAGAACTAATAAATAGCCACAAAAACTGATATATAATGGGTGGTGACGCAACATACCCACTGGCGCTCGAGGCTTATAACCACAATGAGCAGATAGTTATTGAAAGCTCTTTAAACGACTAGGTGAAGTACAAGTATAATGTCTACTGGTACACCTATTTACTGGCCAACAGATCCACTTTGAACACCAGATCTTATTGATTTTGTCATTACCAAACATATCTCTTCAAATTATATGTGCATTGAAAATGGTTTGGATATGACCTCTGACCATTCACCAATCTATTTAACACTACACGAAAGTGTTGTTATTAAGGACCCACCACTTACACTAACAAATACAAACCCTGATTAGGAATACTTTAAGTAAATGTTGTCTGATGTTGACAATCACGTCAAAATTAGTTGTAATTCCGAGCTAGATAGCGAGATCTTGAATTTGACAAACACAATTCAATATGCAGCCTGGAGTGGTACACCAATTACAAGAAACGTCACAGCAGAACATAAGTATACCAAGGATATTAAAGAAATGGTAGCAGAAAAACTCCGATTACGCCGAAAGTGGCAACAAACAAGATCTCCTTCTGACAAAAGTTGCCTTAAAAAAATATGTAAACAACTTAACAGTAAGATAAAAGCATTTAAAAATACAATTCTCAACTATTATCTGAAAAGTTTATCTAATGACCATAGGAATGATTATTCACTTCTGAAGTGTACAAAAAACTAATCTCGAAACGTTAATCAGCATCATCCAATCAAAAAGAGAAATCAAATGTTTTTTAGGAATGCCTTAAAAGTGTCTTTAAACCATATGACACATCTAAGGCAGCTGAAATGGAACCTAATGATTACGACAATTACACTGAAATCCCTCTAGTAACTACAGATGAGATATGTGCCGAAATAAAAAAATTGATGTCTAAAAAATCATCTGGGTTGGACCTCATTACCAGCGAAATACTAAAACAGCTTCCTCAAAATATTATAAGTAAAATTACTGCTAAAATGAACGCTACTTTCAATTTACAATACATATCTATTTACTGGAAAACTGCAGAAGTGATTATGCTTAACAAACCTGGAAAGCCAGCAATGATCTTTCCTGCTACGCGTTTTAACAACATAATTGAAGAAATGGAACCGATACCGGTGCATCAGTTTGGCTTTCGAAAAAATCACTCTACTATTGACCAAGTGCATAGAATTACTTGAGATATTGAAAATGCTTTTGAAGAAAAAAAGTTTGCTCGGCCGTCTTCTTCGACGTTTTCAAAGCTTTTGATAATACCAAAATCATATTACAATATCTTAACATCATACATTTCGGACCGATTTTTTCGAATTAAACACGTAGATACATATGTACTCCGATTTAAAGGAAATTAAAGCTGGTGTTCCTTAGGGTAGTGTGTTAGAACCCATTCCTTACCTACTCTTTACGTGCGATCTACCACACGATGGCAATTGTATTACAGCAACAATTGCAGATGATACTGATGATGATGAAACCACTATAAATCAGTACATATTGATTTCACTCACAACAATATTAGATATATGCCACTGTATATTAACGGTGTACAAATACTATATCACAATAATGAGAAAGACCTGAACATGACCCTGTATACAAAACTTAGATTAGGAGTGCACATGTCAAAAATAAATAAATAAAAATGATATGTATTGGCTTTTGGGCCGAAACTCTGCCCTAACCACATCTAACAAAATTCTTCTTTACAAGCAGGTGTTCAGACGAGTTTGGACTTATGGAATCCAGCTTTAGGGTTGCAGAAGTCCATGCACTGTCGCAGAAATCCAGCGATTTCAAACAAAAATTTTAAGATGTGCATTGGTGTTCTCGCAGCCATGATCTTTAACGTGATCTCAGAATTGACTCAGTTCCCGCATTAATCTATAAATATGCCAAGTCTCGTATGAATGACTTATGGACTTTCTCACCATGTAAACACTGAGCCTTCAGGGCGACAAGAGCTGACCCATTGTCGTAATTGGAAAGAAATACTTAAACACAAAAAACCGTATCACCTTATACAGTAACCAGACTCAAACGCAATTGCATTTGTACTATACAATAAACAAAACAAATTGTTCGTTAGTTTATTTTATGTTATCTAGTTACAATGGCAATGAAATAAATGTAAAAAATTTTAACAAATAACAATTTTCACAACATATTTTTATTACAAAATTAAGACACCTATGCATAATTGTATTTCCACAGTTTTCTAACAATTTTGTTTTAAAATTATTCAACTCTTTTTAACAATAAATTGTGCTATATCATTCACTATTCAACTAAATAAATAGATTTTTGGCTATTTGGAATTTGTAAATTTGGCAATGTGCAAAAAAATACATAAAATAGAGCTCTAATATAATTATAAATTATTATTCCCGTACTTACTAACCTCACACTTATTCTATACTCACATCCACCTAAAATATTTTATACTCTTCTATTTAATAACAAGTCAATACAAAACGTACAAAGAGCACACTCAACTCAACCTTCATCGTCACTGTGTAGTGTGCAAATCACCTGTTCCTGCCACCAATCGTGCACCTCGTAAACTGCATTCGCTTGATTATTAAACGGCAATAATTTACTACCCGCAATAATGTGACCCATAATCGCTGATGGACTACCCAATGGTCCATGCTGTTCACCAAAATGATTCACCACATTTGGGGGATAATGAAATTGACTGCCATCATTGTTACCGGATGCGAAAAATCCCGACGTCCGATTCAAGTCGCGTTTAATTGCAGAACCGCTAGCAGCAGCGACTGGTGGCAAGATAGGTACTGCCGTCATTGAATTTTTCTTTTTTTGTTGACTACTAATATGTAAACGCTCCTTGTCCGTAAGTGTGCTGCGTTGTTGTGGATCGGATGTGGTGGGTGCTAAATACTTGCGACCCGTTGAGCTGCCCGTTGAGTCCGAACGAATCAGTGCTTGTGCGCGTTTGGTGCCACTTATGACACGTTGCACGCCATGCGCCTCACCAGTGGTGGAGACAGCCGCACTACCACTGGCATCTTTTTCTTCATTCTCCGTTGAACTAAAGGTGGGCGAAAAGGCATCACTAGTCGGTGGACCCGCCGCAGTTGTGCTGCCAGGTGGTTTCTCACCGCCGCTGGTGGGAGTTTTATCCTCCGGTGTCTTGAGTAGCATTAACTGCTCATTTGTGGCGCGCAAACCGGCAATTAAGGAGTTTTGTTGCTTCTAATAATAGCAAACAAATATTATTTTTTAGTTAATCTCAACATTTTTAAAGCCGTTATAGCTTACACTTGCATTTTGTGCACGTATCTTCTTCAGGCAACCCTCCAACCAAGTGCGTATAGTCATCTTGGCGACTTCTTCCTCTACCAAATATTCGAATTCCTCACGCGCCAGCAATTCCTCCAATTGCAATGCTTTACGTATATCCACCGACCGATAGGACAGCATGCTGCGTTTCCACAAAAAATTAAATTGTAGCACTTCTTTCCATTAATCGATATTAAAATAAATTTATACTTACTTAATCACGTCGTGAAAAGTCACATCTTCACCATTATGCAACTTATCCAATTCATAGCACATGTACTTGAAGAGCAATCGATCCTTCTGTGGATCACACTCTAGACGTCCTTTTAATAGACGTAATATGAATTTCACACGTCGAACAGGTATAACGCCACGTTGATGTATGTCCACTATGTTCCATGTGTTCTGGAAATTGCGTATGTCGGCATACGAAAGCAAAGCATCCTCTTCGTTTGAGTAGAATAATGAAAAGTTCTCCATGATAATAGCTGTAATAAGTGAAAAATATATTATCATTCTTATATATGGTATTCTATTTTGCAATATAACTTACCCACGAGTAAATTCAATACAATATACGTAATAATGACGTAGAAAGTGCAGAAGTATACCAAGCTAGCTGTGAAATTGCCTAAGGATTAATGAAAATAAATTTTTAGTTTGTAAAGTAATAGAAGTTTTTAAGAACAAAATACCATTCTCAAGCCTATATTTGGGCTTGCATCTGATCAAATTTGACCCGAACTGACAGAAATAAACTCCATTTTCACATATTTTAATATACATTTTTATTATCGCCTACAAAATAGACACTTGAACCACTTTAAGCTTGGCAACGCTTAATCCAATTTTCTATACACGTGTTATAAGCCTCGGCTGGGACGGCATTCAGTGCTTTCAGTGAATTTTGGTGCTTTCGGTTTCGGCTAATTTTTGCAGTGGCATTGTTGGATAGTTTCGACGTCATATCGCCACCAGTGAGTCGATCTATAGATGTGGTTGAGATCCTCTCATATCTTTCTGATGCCAACAAGTACATTTTCAGGCACTGTCACTTTTTCGATGTTATCGACACAGAGATGAATAGATGATGGCGATAACGTATGAGACGTGTTTTCGATGACTTCCCGACCTTCACAGAACGCTTTATGCCCCTCAAATACTTGCGTTTGTGATTAGGTAGACTACCCCAAAACACTTATGTAACATTCTGATTCTGATACCGATAGCTGTGATTCCATTGGAAACACAAAATTTCAAGCCAAATTCACTTTTTTCCATGGTAAAAATCGAAAAATCTTTACTAATTGACTTATGGAGATCGATCTTCACACGAACATAAAAAATATTGTAAAAATGTAGGAAAAAAATGTTATCGACTCGGTTTGCGCGCGCAGTTTAAATGGACCAGTCTGGGTCAATTTTGATCAGATGGTCAATGGGTTAATAATACTATGGCTTCACTAGTAATAATAAGAGATCCGCATATTTTAACAGTACATGCTGACCTCATTCAAAAACTGTTTCTTAGGAAATTTTTAGTGTCGAAAATATACTCAGGGGTTCAATACAAGTATTAACTGCTTAGGTACGACCACTACTTAATAACTTTAACAGAATTCATAATTCTACACGGCCTTGGTTTGAAAATTTTATCAACTGAGTGGTAGGGATGAGAGAAAAGCCAATAGAGTGAGGGGACCTTGGTCCCGTGTTTGTATCACTATGGGCCTCCTAAAGGTCTAGGTGTGTCGAAAGACAGCCACTCTACCTACCTACCTAGTAGTAGGGACTCACTAAACCCCTTCTGTTCCTCGTTTTAATGTATCCTTCTACAAAATGCGAGAATTTCTACTAAAATTTTTTCACTTGGAGTGACAATAGGTTGTGAAAAATTTAGACTAATAAGGTTGAACATTAAATTTGGTAGATTCTTCATGGATTCACGTACTGATTTGGACAGAGTTGTCTATATTTTGTGCCAAATGGGGTATTTTCATTAAGATTTCAATTTATTTGATTTTCTTTTGCGACAGTCAAATCCAAATTGATATATTCTGCTAAAAACCTCATTAGGACTCAAACAAAGCCTCCAGGGCTTTGACAATTCCTATATCTATTTATTGGAGGTTTTGACAGAATCTTGCCGACTTTTGTAAAACTTTTGTCTTAACCTATATTACATGAATACAAAAAATGTTATGTTATGTTATTAATTCCCAATCAATACACCCCAATTACTTTATCCAAGTTTGAAACTTTCCTCAACGAATGTCGGAATATTATTAGTATTTTGTCAATTAAATTAACTTACCACAATCGGTTTCCCAATAATTTTTTCCTGGCGTACAATATGGTGGTTGCACCATGCAATCATGCATAATCTTATTCCAATCTTCTCCGGTCACAATACGAAACAGCATCGCTACGCCCGTTACAGGAGAACCGAAATTTGCACGTCTACCAATACCTTCACCATACTTAACAGTACCGAAGAGTATAGTGCCGGCCAAGGCATAGAAGAATACCAACAAAAACATGCCAAATATGATAAAGAAGGATTTACAAACCGACACGCCCACAGTCAGCATAAGCATTTTGAGTGTTGTGTGTTTACCGGTTATAGTGAAGAAGCGTAAAATCACTACCATAAAACCGAAGAAGTAGGAGAGATCATTCTATAAAATAGAAAAAGATTAAGTAAAAATATAAGCACGTCTTAAAAACCTTTGAGGGCCTCACTCTTAATATAGTCTGCAGGAATATCCAAACAACGCCGGCCACAGTGACGAGTAAATCGTAACGATTTCGTCGCGATTGCCAGTAGCCACGTGGTGTAAATGCTATATTTTTCATAACCACCTCAATGACAAAAACAAAATTTAAAACCGCGCTGACAACCACCAAACGTTCCGTGTGAACTTCACCTTTAATCCACTGCAAAAAATACAAGAAAATCGTTAATCTCAGTTGCCCCAAAGCTATAATACCCATCCTAAATAAAAAAGTTTCTATACAAGAACTTAATTTTGATTGGTAAGTTTATATGGCAGCTATATGCTATATTAATCCGATCTGAACAATTTGTTTGGAGATTATATATTTGGATATATATAGACAGATGGGCATAGCTAAATCAGCTCGTCACACTGATCATTTATATATATTTTTAATGGGTCTCCGACGTTTCCTATAATCAGTAGGATCAAGTGGTTTTAGTTGCATGCATGAAATATAGGTTTTTATCTAAAATGTTTACATGGAGGGTCTACAACAAGTATCTCAATTATATATTACAATAATATATACATATATCCCTAGTTATACCGGTCGTAAGTTCAAACTATATAAACGAATATTAAAAGCCTCAAGTGAAATCCAAACTAGTATTACGAATCTATGTATTTTACGATCTTGAACTTTATATCATATAATATATTTAGCCGCAGGTTGATAAAACTTATACTCAACTTAATCGGCTATCAAAAGCAAGTCGAACTTGGAAACCAATTGATCCAATATGACAAATTATCCATAAAATATTAAATTGAGGAATAACATATAATCGGAAGAATATATAAATCTATATATATATATATAACAGTCCCATATTGAGGTCTATGTTTATCTGATCTCGGCTTCATCTTGATTATTTCACAATTTCTTGCACAACTTCATATTTACCGTTATGGACAACAGCATGCTGTTGATCAGCACCACTACGGCTATAATACGTTTAAAGATTATATTCTGGGTTATGTCGTAAGTGAAAGCGCGAAACTTTCTGCCATCCGGACGTGGCGGTAAGTGCAGAGGCTGAGCAATCTTTAAACGTTTTTTCAGGTCACACCAACGACGCTGATCGACCGTCAACAGAGCGGTACCTTTATTCTCCGAGTAATTAGCGATCACTACACCCACAAACAAGGTCAATCCGATCATACAACCTAAGAAAATATAGATGTGTATGTAAACCGCATGGATCTGAAAATGGAAGATACAAACAAACAGGTATAAAACACTGTAGAAACACTAATAAGAGTATGAAAATGAAACACGCTCCTACCGGTCCAACAGCTTTGATCAACACATCGCGCACATCCAGCCAACCCTTAAAGGAGAGCACTTCAAAAAGCGTCAGCATCGCATCACCGATATTGTCAAAATTGAATCTGCGCGGATTAGCCCAAACACGTGGCACCAACATCGACGGATATGACTCATTATTACCGGGTGTCAATTTCATTTTCGTTACAAACACACGACGCATAAATACACCCACACAATCTTCACGACGCATAATGGTCGGATCATTACAACGCGCCAAGCGACCACCATATAACTGTACACCATAGCTGGCGAATATAAACATGAGTAGTATAAGCAATGTGGATACGAGTAAGATCTCTTTGAAGCCGCGACACAACTCATAAACGACTTTGCGCATGTGTGGCACCAGCGTGAAAATACGCAATGGGCGTACACAGCGCAAAATCATCAATAGTTGTGCGCCAGAACTAGTCGGTATCTGTTGGGGCATCCAACAGAGAAAGGATGTGGATACAACATAAATGAAGACATCCAGCACTGCAGCTACATCCTTAATATAGGCTTTCGGTGTGAAGAAGAGACCGTCGGCAAGTATTTTCAAAGCCAACTCCAGACTCATAAATACTACAAAACCATATTCGGCTATTTGTAGAGTAGGATGATCCATAACGCGATAGCTTGGCGTTTCAAACATCATTGATATGCATGAAAGTGTCGTAACAAAGATCATAACCCAATCCAAGTAGGTGACCAAACCGAGAAAATTGCTGCGAACGGGAAGGAAAAATAAGTTTTTGTACACAAGAAATATAGCTAAGGCTACTCAAAGGACTTACTGCATGCTCTTATACTGCACTTTCCGTTCCTTGCCCGTTAGTGGATCCTTAAGGCGCGCATCGTAACGTCCATGCACGATCTTCTGACAAATCTTACGAAAACGACTCTCACGCGGCACCAAAAACAGTGGCGTATCGAAGAACGGATGATTCTCACGCAAGTCCTCTTCGCGTTGATTTCGCCTCATTTCGGCTTGTTGTCGCTTCGCTTGCAGTAGCTTTATGTCGAGATCATGCGGACGTGCACGTCCCGAATTGGCGCGTGGTGCTGCCGCTATATCACCATTTTCCATGAGATGTTCATAAGTCTGTTTCAATTTAATCGAACCGGAACGTACGCTACGACGTATGGAACGTGAACCAAATCTGGTGTAACGAACAGAAATTGAAGAAAACCAATACAAGATTAATGCGTATGCCCAATGATTGTTAGGAACCTACTTCTTTTGATCTACACGCCATGGTTTCGAATGTGTTATGGTGCCTTGAGACTTTAAACCCCCTTTGCCGCCTACGACAGGCAGCATAGCGGAGTCTCCAAGCATTAAACGCTGATTATTCGAATCACTGGAAAGTCGACTTGAGTAAGTCAATTTTGAATAAAAGTACACATATGTATATGAGAATTTTGAGCACACATTGCATGCGGGATAGTCTGTGTGGAAACATTTTGATAGGGATATGATAATTTGCGCCTTCTAAATATATACATATATATTATTATATCTATGGATACTAATGTCTATATTATTAATGGTATTCCCTTTGAGCTCAAATTGTTTCAACCGTAGTTTCCCGGCTTGAAAATTTTGCTGCCAATTATATGTACAATAGCATAAAGGCATTACACAATCTTTCGCTTACTTGATAATATGCGTGATGGCTAATTTGCGCAAACTGCTGCCGGCCGAACGCACCTTGGGCGTCTTGTTCATGATCCGCACAGGTTTCTGCTTACGAAATACCACATTCGACTCCCAACACTCCGACATGGGACGCTTACAGTTCTCCACAATGGAGGGATCATCGGTTTCCAACTCAATTACGAAATGTTTCATAAACGATTCACGTACTTTGGGTAATGTGAAATCATTCGGTATTCTATGCAATATGGTCATTTGTGGTGAGTCGGGAAACTTCTCGAAAATACGCAAACGAAATGGCAATGTTTCTTTAATCTCAGCGCTCTGTTCACGAAATTTAAGTTGTTTCAATTTTTTAATATCCTCATCCAGTTCCAAATTGTCCAAAATGACCGCCACGAACAAGCTGAGCACGATCAATGTGACGAACAAGTGGTAGAGTATAAAATAGACGGCCACTAACGGTGTAAGTGTTTTACTCGTGCGTATCATTGTTTCATCCATAACTTCAACCCAGGCCTCTTGCGTAAGAATCTGGAACATAGACATAAAAGCTTCCGGAAATGATTCAAATTTCGTAAAATCACACAGAAAGCAAAAAAGTTGCATAGAAATACTGGAGCTAATGATAAGCAAACACATAGTGAATATGATCAGTGAGCCGAGTTTCTTGCCCGGACCGAAAATCTTATAAACGAAGCCTTCAAGCATAGGCGAAGCCTTGATTAAGCGTACAACGCGCAGGACCTGCAAAGTGAAATATGAAACAAATGTTCAAAAATATTAAAAGTACAGATTCTATTGACTCCACAACACTACGAAATACTCGTACTTCTTTTTTATCTTACCTGAAAGTAAGTGAAGCCCGACAGATAAAACATTGGCACAATGTGTATGGTGGTGCCCACCGCCAAGAGCAATTCGAATTTATGTATGGAATGTTTATAATAGCCACGCCAACCCAAACAATAGATCTTGAAGAGCGTTTCCAAGTCCAAGAAAAATGTGAAAGCCATTTCGATGTAATAATATTTCTCATAGAAAACATTACGCGGGCGACCATCATGTTTAAACGTCATTGTGGCCATAACTATGCCATTAGCCAAGATCACGGTCATCACCAGCATGCGAAAGTAGGGTGAACGTAAGATCGCGTGACAGGTTTCAGGTGCCAAACCGCCATGTTTATTATCATCTATAGTCACCAAACGCCAACCAGAATCATTGCCGCTGAGTATCTGCGATGCAGCGGTCTTCTGTATGTGACCGCGAGCGCCCCACATCTGTTGGAACTGCACGCGAATCTCGTTGAATGTTTCCGTAATGACAGCAATGAAGACATTCTTCACCAGCCAAGCGAGGAAAAAAATCATTGTGCTGAAAAAAAGGTAAAGGTATTTGTAAATTTGACATAACATGCCTTTGAATACCAACCTGAAGTAGAAAGCAGCACGCCAAGCGGGCAAAGAATCGATAGCGCGGTACATTATAAAGACCCAACCTTCTTGCGAGGCGGCTTGGTAGACAGTGAAAATGCTCGTAGCAAAGTCCTCGAAACCGTTGAAGCCAATTACATAGCTACTGAGAAAATCCATTTTCATGCAAACCATTCCGGGTGAGCACTGATATCCAGAGTCCGGATCCATCGAGCAGAATGTATCAGGTATGGCAAGCGAATTTATAGTTAAAATGCTGAAATTCGAAATGATTCGAAAGGATGATATGGAAAACAATTTAAATGCTGTTTTAAAAAACCCTAATGTAGACTCATAAGAGCATTACCAAAAGCGGGCTTAAATAATGGCTATGCTCTTTTGTCATCCTTTTATAAATATTCTAAAAAAATTTACTGTGTCTAACTTATCTTGAGCTTTTGATAAATTATTCTCTGACTAACGATCCTTATAGAAAGAAGTTTTGAGTGATATTTTCTATACGAATCAAAAGTTAACTCGTTCTTTCTTCTTTCAGTAAATTAAAAAAATATATTATTTTGTCAGCCGCTCTTTGCCAGAGCTGTATAGAGGAAAGCCAGGTGGAATCATCTTGCCACTTTCTCCTCTATCGCCGGCTTTTGCTTAGCCAATAAACTAGTTCTGCTCTTCCTAAACCCTGACTACCCAGTAAAAGGTTTCAGACACAAAAAAAAGATTTCCATGCAAGGTCTTTACTTTGATCGATAAGTTTGTATGACAGCTATAACCTATAGTAGTCCGATATCGGTGGTAATTCCGACAAATGAATATCTTCTTGGGGAGAAAAAGACGTGTTCGATATTCCAAATTGATATCTCAAAAACTGAAGGACTAGTTCGCGTTTATACAGACGGACATAGCTAAATCGACTCAGATCGTCACGGTGATAATTTATATCTTGTGGGTTATACAAGCTTAGTGGCAAACTTAAGGTATATGTATGTTTAGGCTATAATAAAGTATACTTGTTGTATTCCTTCAATTTTTATATATTTTCATCTCTTGCTTCCTTCTCGCCGGTTTCATTCCTTCACTCTCTTTTAAAATTAGTGCTCAGAGAATACTTACGGTCTTCCCAAGTAGTCGTACTCGGAGTTGTTCATCACGCAATGGTTTTTCAACTCCCCAAAGAATTGTACACCCAGTAATCCATAAAGTGACATAAAAAATAGGAAGAACAAGGTCACGTTGTAGATCTGTTGGCTCGAGCGTCTGTAATACACCGGAAATACATATATAATTAATATGCAGACATTTTTTTTTAAATTATAATAATTTCTACACACTTGAATATTTGATTAATGCGGCTTTTTGGCATCGAAAATTTCAGGAAGACTCGCAGGAAGCGTATCATAATTAGGGGGCGTGGTGCGCGTACAATTGAGATGTAAGAAAATCTAAGTAAAAAATATTAATAAAAAGTAGTAAGTTGGGAACGATTGAAATTGAACTGTTTCGGAAATTTTTTGGTAATTACAAATGCGCATTGATTATTCAATTCAAAACAAAACTTCCGAAACATTTCTTATATAAATGTACACATAAGAATCAGACTAACTACTTGTAGTTATGAGGCGTAGTTTCAACTTACTTGGGCACAATTTCTAAAACTTCGAATATTTGTAATATAATCGATATCCAGAGAAAAAATACCATTGACGCATCGAATTGACACCAATGATCCTTTAGATATGGTACTTCACCCTATAGCAATTCATTTGTATGTAAAGTATATGGGGGAAAAATGTATGATTAGTAAAGGCCACATTTTGAACGATTTGGTAATACCTGCTTCGAAATGACACTCATGCATACATGCATTAATATACACATATTTATATACAATTTTTTATGTAATCGTTGCAAACTCGATTCATATGACGCTTACGCAAAATGGAGTAGGACAATTATTACATACAAACATATGTTTTGAAAGTGACGACATCAATAACAGTAACAAACTTGAGCAAATCAATCTGATCATAAGATGTAAGGTATGTGAGGACATTAATAGTTTCTTAGTCTTTGTAACACTCTAAAAGTTCCTCCGGATTATACTCCGATTATGTTAAAATAAAAAAGCGATTTCTTATTTTCAATATGACAACTTTAGACAGCATTTTGTTAATAAGAAATAATATTTATGTTTATTTATACGATTTAATTAAGGCTTAAATGCCAATGTTTCTGTTTTTAACCAATAATACTTTTGCTATCCGTATTTCGATAGGTAATGATCCAAATTTTATTAGTTACACTGAACATGTCATTTCTAAACGAAATGCATATCAACTCTTCATGCCTTTAGTGCTTTCAGCGAGTTTTGCTATTTCGTTTTCGCTTCATTTTTGGAGCGCCATTCGAGATTATTGAAAAGTTTCGACGTCATATTCATAAACTCTCGTGTCGTCATTAGTTAAGATGTGTTTGATGAATATATGGTCTTCAGCTACATACATTGTCAAGCTCTCCTTTGCGACCTCCACTCGAACTCTTTTTTGTATTGACACGCTTCATACATAAAACATTAACTTAAATGGACGAATCGATCCATACGAGATTTTGAGATCCTCTGTTATCTCTTTGATGACAACGATTTTCAAACTATGTTTTTTTAACTTTTTCTATGTTATCGTCATTAACAATGGTGGATGGACGACTCCCATGAGAAAAGTTTTCGATGACTTTACGAGCTTCACTGAAGTCTTGTGCCACTAAAATATTTGTCTTCGTTACAAAGATGACTCGATATTAAGTTTTTTTTCTATAGTAAAAATGGAGATCAAATTTCACAAGAACTTATTCCAATTAAGGAATTTTTATTTATCATTTCGGTTTGCGCGCGCAGTTTATATAGAACAGTTCAAGTGAAATTCAAATCGGTTTTAAATTGAATTAAGGTAATTATCGATTAATTAATATTTAGTACTTCATTTTTCAATAAGTGCAGTTAAAATAGATTACCTTTTCATTTTATAACATCTTTAGACAACAATTATATAAAGCTCCATTCGAACAAAGGCTCACAAATAGAGATAATTTCACATACCTATGTCCCTCCATACCTTATGTTATATTATTCTTTCCGATGGATTCGTTCAAGCTCGCTTAACATTTAGTTATTGTTGTGTTCAATAATTGATCTTCTACCTAACCATAATACTTACATGCAATACACCACGTATATGCATTTTGGCAATCATTTCGGCGGTGAATAGCAGCGTGACCGCGGTGTCCGATGCGAATGTTATATACTGTAATGGGGGATGCCGCTCGAAAGTTTTCGGCGTATTCAATGAGACTGAGGCCAAGGATACTAAGGCGCATAAACGCATTAGTCGCCTTACCCACAGCTTATTCACCCATTCAATATCGGCACTTTCGTTAAGCGACTCCTCGGGACCATAATCGGCCAAAAACGGTTCGCCCCCCTTGAGGCTTTGCTTGCGGCCGAGCATCTTATTACCAATGCCCGTTGCTAGGCCCAGCCCAATAGGGGGGACGCCAGTTATGGCTGCGCTGCTTGGGCCCATCGTACTACTGATGCCGCCACAGATGCCCATACCAACACCACCGCCAATCGCACCGCCGCCAACGCCACCAATACCGCCCATGACACCAGCACCAATGCCCGCACCGCTGCCGCTACCGCTAGCGCCAAGACCACCACCACCAGCACTACTATTACCAGCCGTGTTCGAAGACACATTTTGATTATGTACACCCAATTGACCGCCGGCTATGCCGGTACCACCACTTGTTGAAGTGCCCAACATTGGACCCATTGTGGGTAGCAGTGCCGGACCACTACTGGCGCTGCCGCTGCCCGAATTCACAACTGACGGACTATTAACGCTGCTGGTTCCATCAAAGCCATGTCCACTTTGTGCAGATGCCGAAAGTGATGCGCCAGCCTTGCGTGATATGCGCGATAAGCTGCCCGAGCTATGACCTTGGCTATAACTGCCTCCGGTATTGAAGGTGAAATGACTGTGACCCGACGTATGATGATGGTGATGTAATGATGAGCGAAATTGCTGTTGCTGTTGATGGGGATGTGAATGCTGCTGCTGCTGATACTGTAGACTGTGCCCGCTGGAGGAGCTGGTGCTAGCTGGTGGAGTGGTAATTATGCCGCCGCCACTTGTACCAGCACCAACACCACCGCCAACACCGGTGGTAGTCGCCGATATGGAGCTAGTGTCGCTACGGTTACTTGCAGCTCCTAAGCGACGCGTATGCAATCGGTCAATCATTCAAGCATGCAGATTGAACGCATTCTACGCGACCGAACGCCAAGATTACACAGATATTAAACGAACTCCTCGTGTGCTTGTTGTCCAAAAAATAGGGTGTGTAAAAGGAAGACAGCTGAAATAACAACAGTTAAATGTTATAGTTTTTATTTTTTATCTTTTATAGAGTTGTGAAACCAATTAATCAACTTAAAACTTTGGCAGGGGTTTGTGGAAGCTACTTCTATAATAAAATTGAAAGCCCTAAACCTACTTTGAACAGCTGCGAGATTTTTGGAGAATCTTTTCATATCAAAAGTAATCTCCGATATTTAAAAATATTTATTTCGAAGCGATTAAAAATTAATCAACCTAATTATAAATAATAATAATAATAATAAAGAGGGTGTAAGACCCAGACAATTGGAGAAAGTCAATAAACTGACTAATATTTAAAAATCCATACATTTGCAACCTTTATTAGATATGTACTTGACCGTAATTGCCACAACAGCCAGTTCTTCCATAACGGAATTGACCCGGGTTTTATCCGGTCAAGGGCTAATACAATATTTCGCCGATTTAACCATTTTTGGATCAATAAGTAGCAAGTCACACAATTGAACTTGCATCGAAATATGAAAACCGTTACAAAAACAGATACTTGACCCAGCTTCCTCCCAGATTTGTAGTATATACCTTTGTATTATCCATTGAAATGGTGGATCCTAAAAATTTTAAGCCACCATTATGATTAAAGAATTGTATAGTTTTTATGCATAAAAACATTTGTAGAATTGTTATTATCTACCGAAAGACCACCGCTTTTAAATCATCATAAGTGTTCCGGACACTAAATGGCATTCAAAATAGTTTAACGCCCTACCAGCACTTGAAATTTCATTTGATTTCGAATTTTTAGCTTTCTCGATGTTGGAACAGGTGTCTGCATAATGTCTATAAGTTAACTGAATATCACATAAACTACTTGTCCTTGAAAGACATAATTTTCTCATTTAGATTTGTTTCTCTTTGATCATATTGTTACTATTAAGCAAACATATTGCCTAAATATGTATGTATATGAAATAAATGTAACGTAGTCAACTATACTTAGTTATTTATACTCGTAAGTAAACAACTTTGGAGCACCACAGACCTTGCGTTGGACGAAGTGCGGCTGCTTGTAGTTATATGTCTTATCAACACTCTCTTTCAATCTAAAAACCAGACAAACTGCTCTCAGACAGCTGTTTGCTTCTTCCTCAACATGGAAATTCATTTGAACTTCGCCTACCCCTGTATCCCTATGTTTTTGCGTATACTTTTCTCTGCGAAAAATCAATACATCCAGGAAAGGAATTATAATTTTGCCAAAGTAATTTTTCTGCATTTAAAACATATTTAGTTAATTAAATTTGCACTTTTGCTAAATTATAAGTAACTTTTAAACAAATTTCAACAATTTTTCTTTAATTTTAACACACTTTCTAACCAATTAGACACAACTCAAAGTTTACACGCTCTAAAGTATGCTATGATTTTTTCAAAAACTCTGTCTAAAATTGCAATTGATGGACAGGAAATTGCAAATAAGCACTTTTATAGTACTTCCAAATTAACTTTCCTTACAATTTACCTAAAGTTTACACAAGTATTGGCAAAAATAGTTTTGCAAAATATTTACATGGCCAAATTTTCACTTCGTTCTAGCCAAAATGTCCGTTTCGTTGGTGGACAAAATCAATACTGATAAAAGCGTTACATGCGAATGGGAGCTTAACCGACGCATTCTCATCTTTGTGCTGACAGACAGACTTTGCATATGTATAACGGTATAGAGATAACGGCATACTTATCTGTTCTGACCAAAAATAATACGTTAATACATGTATACGTACATAGGTGCAGACTGTAGTGAATTTTTCATTCATGCTCGTAAATTTGCTTGTTGTCATTGAAGTTTTTGCGGCAAATTGGGTCAACGACACACACATGCGCATACCGAGAGTGGGAATAATATAACGGCTTGCTATTGTTTATTTACTTTTGAAAATTTGTACACAAAAAACAGCTGATCGCTGTTGACATATAAAGCCGGTTGCCGGGCTGTTACAGCCAAGCAAATCAATACCAAATTGTTGCAGACGATACAAGTTTTGTATATAACATTTATGTATGTAGATGTATATATAGAAGTGTATTTAGTCAGTCTTGTATACAAAATAAATCGCATACAGAGTTGTTGTTTGTCAACAGTAGTGCACAAAACATTTGAGACTTATTTTTGTATATACGACTGTATTAGTGTGACATAATCATATACCTACATCTGAAAATAATTATTAAAAATCGTCAAATTAAAGCGAGATTGCATCGATTACGAAATTGCGATATTTATTACTGATCGGCTTCACGTATTATTATCCTAATTCTAAACTGAAAAATTAAATAATTGTATTATATTTTATAATGTACTACATTTTTTATTAGGATACTCTTACTACAAAGTAAGAATGAAAATATCAGAGTTTCGTATTGTTATTACAGTTGCATGTTAGTTTGGCCGGGGGAGATTGATAAGCCAACAGATGTACATGTACTCTTCAATAAATATTACTAAATATTAGTTAACTATACGTTAGACTTAATAATCCTATTTTCATAACGCTTTTTTTAGGTCTCAATCAAAAGAAAATTTGCACAAGAAACATCTCAGCTTTTCGTGGTGCAATTTCTGTTTTAAGATTTCACATATTTTGAATGAGCGCAGATTGAATGCATTTCCCATCAATAAATTCATTAATTAATTCGTTATTTATGTGAATAATTAATAAATCAGATATTTATTCATAGCTGTCGATTCAATAGGCTTTCATTCCCGCATCGTGCATGGAAGCACTATTTTACACAAATTTTTCCATTTACAATCCCAGAAAATGGCTATAGTAGCCAAAATCTGTTAATGAACATTTATAGAATCTAGAAATACCACAACTACCGCACCAATATGAACATCGAAATCTTTTAAGTCATATTTAACAATATATTCGTGGAAAGTGAATATATTTCTGTGTGTGTGATTTGAGGGCAAACTTTGAACATCTCTGGATACTAAGGCGGATATTTTTGTATTGTTTAGGTATACTCTCTAGCCATCGACTCATTAAATAATATTTAACTAGTCTAGACTAGACTATAGTATTATCTCTATAGAAATTCATCAGATGTTCGTAAGTGGCTTAGTATTAAGTTTACAGCAAAATTACAGAGAAATTACTTATTTGTTAAATTGGTTCTTCAAAAAAAAAAACCGTATTCGTAACATTATTGAAGGTAACTAATCGAACCAAAGTTCTGCTATTCTCTCAGAATGCAATGGCAAATCGCCAAGTCGAGACAAATTTGCGAAAATTAATTTGCCATTCGTAGAAAAAACATAAGGCCGTTGATTTTTCATATAACATCAATATCGTTTTCTCTAGCAACCGTCTTGATATTTCCTAAATGTGGAAATTTTTAAGTTTTTAGAAAAGACTCTACTACCAGGTGTGCCGTTCTGACAAACTGCAAAGAAAAAAAAACAATGTAAACCGATGATAACTTCGGCTGCACCGAAGCTGTAATACCCTTTACAAATACAAAAGTTTCCATATAAGAACTTGATTTGGATCGGTCAGCTATAGTGGTCGGATCTGAACAATTCTAAGGAGATCGTACTTTTGCCTTTGATAATAATCCATGCCAAATTTCATGAAGATATCTTGTCAACTTAAGAAGCTTTTCATACAAGGACTTCATTTTGATCGATAAATTTGTATATTATTTGTTTTGGTTGCTTTGGGGAGCTAAGTTTGAAAAAGATATTTCGTAAAATAAAGAAGTTTTCTATACAAGGACATGATTTAGACCGTTCAGTTTGTATGGCAGATATATGCTATAATGATCCGATATATGCAGTTCCGACAAATGAGCAGCTTCTTGAAGAGAAGAGGACGTGTATAAAATTTTAGATCGATATCTCAAAAACTGTGGAACTAGATTGACTCAACCCGTCATGCTGATCATTTATATGAATACTTAAAGGTTCTCCGAGCTTTCCTTCCGCGTGTTACAAACTTCATGGTCAACTTAGTAAACCCTCTTAAAGGTATAAATATTCTTTGAAGCGTATTATTTCGACGAAGTGCAAAATCAAAAACATTTATGGAATATATTGTATATATGTATATATAATACTGTAAATTATTGCATGGGCCGTAAGCGTAGACAATGATTCAAAACAGGTTTCCAAAATTCTGCAGCAAAGCTAATATACATATATCAATATATATTTGCAAGATTTTGTTTGCCAAAGAAAATATTCTCATCGACACTTCATACCAGTACACATTTTTTCACCAAATTATTCAAATTATTGTTTTGCATTTAATATTCAAAGCAGATGACGACATTTTTTGACAACAAGCGCGTTTAAAATATACTAAGTATACAATTGTTTGTATGTCATGTATAAAAATAGCAATTTCGTGGTTATGACAACATGGAAGTACGTGAGGAAGTGCATGATTATACTATTATATAAAAATCTTTAAAGTAAACCCATAAATTTCGCATTCAATATTTCAATACTTGCATGTTAATGAAAATATTGTAATAACAAAAATGTTGTTGTTCATTAATATTATTGATTGTTAAACCTCAAGTAATAAAATAATAATAAATAATAATTGTAAATTTTAGGTATTTTAATCCAGTTATTAACGCTCTACTAAGCATTGTGTAGCTCCCTACATAGCATAGTCGTCACAGCTGAGTGGCAATAAGAATGTTTGCCATAATGTTCTCAACAATCTTCGCTGCGCTCCAAACCAAACAAACAATTTATGTTTATCACTTATGTGACACTACAAGCCCACAATTCCAGCGCGATTTGTAAAGCATCAGCGAACTTTTGTTTTACTTGTGGTGGCAAAGCTCTCCGAGCACCAAAACAATCAACAACAATCAAAATACTCACTTTATCAACAAGAAATCTCATTATTATTTATACTGCGCACGCCTGAGTTTTGGAACGCCAGCCAGTCTAGGTAGCTAACGAAATCTCAAAGAGACCTACATAGAACCAAAGAGGAGAGCACGAAAAATTGTTCAGAAATTCACTCGTCTTGTGCCATTATACTCTGCAAATCGTCCAGAAAGTCAAGTACACAGCCAAAGTAAGTCGCAAAGATTAGCTATTAGGTGCAATTAATAAAAGTAATATTCCAATTACATGAATCCAAAAAAAAAATCTATGAAATTAGCAAATATTAGTTTGAGTAAAACGTTTCAAGCGTGAATAGTATTTTTGTATGTGCAATTATAACTTTTCGTAGCAGCAGCGCATAATCTGTGTTCGCTAGTAAAGTAATCGCTTTCGCTGTGTAACAGTGTGTGATATTATAGTGTTTGCTTTACCCAAATAATTATTAAGTCGATAAAAGACCATGGGTTCATCGTCGTCGCGCAATGCTGCGTCCAACTTTCCCTCGCATGATGATCCAGCGTACCGGAAGTGTCAAGAGTTGAAAGTAAGTGCATCAATGTACACAATACACATACATTTTATAATAATTATATAATTTCCTGTGAAAATCGATCTTACAGATGGAACGCTGGATACAATTGCACTATCAGATAAAAGAGCGCGAAATGGCAACTTATATTGCTGGCAAACGTGAACTCTTCTACTGGTTAAGCGCCTTCTATATAACCTCGAGCATTGGTTGCTGGCAATATTATCAGCACATTCGACGAAAAGCGGCATTGCTGCCAATGGTCCCATTGACCTTTGTTATGGCATATTATGCCGATTTAGCTTACGGCAGCAAAGTACATCGCATTCAAGGTGTGTTTCAATGAATACCTTAGTTAAATTCAATTGAAAAGTCACCTATTTGGGTGATTGCATTTCCAAATTGTTTTCTTATATTAACTCCTGTTTTTTGTTGGTTTTGTTTTTTTATTGTAGCTGAAGCCAATATGATATTGGAGCACGAGAACGAGCTGCTGCACTGGCCTGGCGGCTTGCCAACTGTATCATCACTAGATGAGGCACGTGTCGAAAATGAAATCGAAAAGAAATTACATCCACATCCTTCATAGGTTTATCCACTGACAGTTTATTTATGCTTTCCATGCTATTGAATTTTTTACACTTCATATATTGCTCAATGAAATAATTATCTATCCAATCAACTGCATATTTATCTATTTAACCGTTTTATAATCACTTTTTTGAAATGTAAACATATATTTATGCAATTGAAAGTTTGTGACAATATTCGAATTACTTATAAGATTAGCCATTTTCTAAACGTGCATGTACTTACATATAATATATCTACATACGTATATTTGCGCAGTTATTGATGTGTGTAAACGATTTTTTACTATTCAATATATTGTACTTAAATTGTCCATAATATTATAGTAATTTTTGAAATGTTAAAAAGGTACTTTAAGAAACTGGATTTCTAACGACATACATATGTACATTTAAAGCACACACAATTATATGAAAATAGTAGAATAGGAATGTTATCGTATAATGTATTATAATAAATAATTGTCTGAATATGCTATTATACATATGTATATGCCTGAAAAATACGTGCGCATGCATATATTGTACACACATACACAAATGTATGCAGATTAACAGCAGAACTTCATATTCAAGGGGTTTCTAAACTATCATTCAACCTTAATTCATGTGATTGATCATAGTACTTACTTACAAATATACTCTTAATTACATTTAATAAATTATAATATTGCGAATTAATACACTATGAATAAATAGGAAATGTTATATGAATAATTCTTGTTAGAAAGGTCGATACAGCAAATTATAATAAACATTATATCCTTCAAATCCTTAAGATCACTGAAGCAATTTTTTATATTTTAAATCTACCTAAAAACAAATCCATTAGAAAAAGTATATAAAATTCAATCGCGATATCCAGTAGAACTTTAAATTGAATGGCGCCTCTTCCTTTTCCTCACACCCTTTTGTTAAGTCAATTGGCAACACTGTCGAAATTTTATATGATATGTTATAAATTGAATTGTAAATAGAAATCTGAACTACTTGTCCCAAATTAGCAAATAAAAAAATTAAGCTACCAAAAGTGACCTAACCAAATTTAAGTGCCAATTAGATTTATGCTTTTACCTCTTAATATAAATAAAAAAAATTCCTGCTGCTCAGAGAGTTAAGTGCTGCCATTTTCTCACAGTACAGTTGAAACACAACACTGTGTGTAGTTTGACAATTGAAAAGTAGTAACAGTAGCGGCAGTGCGACTTGGAAAAAGATGTAAATTTTCTTAAGGCATTAAGTTGAGGAAAATACCTGCAAATAAGTGTGAAAACAAGTGAAAAGTGTGCCTCGCACTTTGGTTATCATCTTTCGATAGGAAAATCATAAATTTTGTTGCACAAAAACAAAGGAACTCTTGTGTGAAAGAAGTCGACAAAGTCCACAAGAGAATTTTGGCAAATTTGCATTGTACACTTATTCTGATTTTACCACACAACCTCAACGATTCCTCGTCCGCCGTTGTCTTCGTTTAATTGTATTGTGTGTTCCCCTATTTTGCTTTTCCCTTTGATTCGGAATTTTATCGTCTTCATCAAAGCAACACAGCATTAGCAGTTGTAAAGATATAGGAGGTGAAAAAAGCATTTGCTTATAAGAATTTAAAAGTGTCCAGAATTGAAAACAATAAAGAAACAAAATACCAAAAAAGCGAGCGGAAGAACGGCTGGCGTAAATAAAAGCTTCAAAAAGATAGTGAATCGTGAAAGCATCTGAAACAAAAGTGGATTCCAACGAAGTAAAGAGAAAAGGTAAAGGGTAAAGACAATAGAAAAAAGAACAGTTTGTACGGGGTGTTAGAGACCGCCTGCTCGAGTGCCAAAGTGGAAGGAAAGCAAAAAGAAAGAAGGAGAGCAGAACAGAAAGGGGACAAAAATAAGACATAATTTTGACAGGTAAGAATGTAAGGAACATAAGAGAGTCACATTTTACGAATTTTCATTTCCCTTCATCATCTGCTCAGTGTGAGAATGATTGGAAAATTGAAAAATAAATAATATTTTTTCACGTTCACTTTCATGTCTGACGTATTGACTAGTGATTTTTTTATTTGTTCATTTCCGATTCTTAGTGAAAGATTTTGTAAAAGGTCGCGTTGTAGCCAAAGACTCATCATCATAGCACAGCGACGACGAAGTGTGTAAAAGAAAAAGTGCGGTTGCGGGGCGCTGTAAAATTGAATTTAAAGCGTAATTGTGACGAGAAAATGGAAATCGAGCCCGACCAATCGATAGAGGCAATGGACACACAAGAGGTCGAAATAATCACAAGCGACCTGCAACATCAGCAACAGCAACAATTAAATAAGCTGCATTTGCCAGCAGAACAGCTGCCCAACGAGAACGGCAACGGTCCGCCGCAGCAATTACTAGCCGACAACACTTCGCCATACGCCAACGAACAGGAGATGACGTCCGTCGACGATCCCAAGGACGATCAGTTTCGTTCTGAAGCTACATTTTCATATACGGTGGAAAATATATCGCAGCTCAAGCAACAACATCTCTCACCACCCGTATATGTACGCATGTTGCCATGGAAAATTATGGTAATTCCAAATGATCGTGCGTTAGGTTTCTTCCTTCAATGTAATGGCGAAAACGAATCACCTACATGGTCGTGTAACGCCATCGCTGAATTACGACTGAAATGTCACAAACCAGATGCACCACCATTTACTCGTGCGCGTATAAAGCATCTTTTTTACTCCAAAGAGAACGACTACGGTTATTCCAACTTTATTACGTGGACAGAATTACAGGAGCCCGAAAAGTGTTACGTACACAATGGCGATATCACATTGGAGGTGCACGTTGTGGCAGATGCACCGCACGGCGTGCTTTGGGATTCCAAAAAACATACTGGTTATGTGGGACTTAAAAATCAAGGAGCAACATGTTATATGAATTCGTTGCTTCAAACACTCTATTTTACTAATCAATTGCGACGTGCTGTTTACAAAATACCGACAGAGGCCGATGATAGTACCAAGTCGGTAGGTTTATCATTACAACGCGTTTTTCATGATCTGCAATTCGGCGACCGCCCGGTAGGAACTAAAAAGCTTACCAAGTCATTTGGTTGGGAAACACTTGACTCGTTTATGCAACATGATGTGCAGGAATTTTTACGAGTTCTACTCGATAAATTAGAATCAAAAATGAAAGGTACATGTTTGGAAGGCACCATACCGGGTTTATTTGAGGGTAAAATGTCTTCGTATATAAAATGCAAGAATGTTGATTATAACAGTACACGTTACGAAACTTTCTACGATATACAGTTGAATATAAAGGATAAAAAGAATATCTACGATTCTTTCAAGGATTATATAGCTTCTGAAACACTTGAGGGTGATAATAAATACGATGCGGGAGTGCATGGCCTCCAGGTGAGTTAAATTTGCAAAATATATAAATATTATAATATGCTAGTAAATGATAAAAATGTATGAATAAGATTGTGAAGTGAACCCCAGTTGGGTTTATTTCTTACTTTGATTTGGCTTAAGTTATTATTATTATTATATCATTACTATAAATATTTTTTTTTATTATTATTGTACTATAAATATTTATTTTATTATTATTATATATGCATGTAAGTAGACACATGTCTATTTTGTTGAAAATTTGACCAACTTACCTCCTTTGTATTTCTTTTGTTCCATATAGGAAGCAAGCAAAGGTGTTATCTTCACGGCTTTTCCGCCCGTGTTGCATTTGCATTTAATGCGTTTCCAATATGATCCCATAACAGACAGTTCCATCAAATATAATGATCGTTTCGAGTTTTACGATCGTATAAACTTAGACGAATATTTGGCTGAGAAAGAGAAGACACCTGCCGAGTATGTTTTGCATGCAGTGCTTGTACATTCGGGCGACAACCATGGCGGCCACTATGTGGTATTCATTAATCCGAAAGCGGACGGAAAATGGTTCAAATTCGATGATGATGTCGTCTCCAGTTGTCGTCGGGTTGAAGCCATTGAACAGAATTACGGTGGAAACGATGATGAAATATCGTTCCATGCTAAGTGCAGCAATGCATATATGTTAGTCTACATACGTAAATCCGAATTGGAACGCGTACTCAGCGATATACCCGAAAATGAAATACCCAGTGAATTAGTGGAACGTCTTGAATTGGAGAAACGCATCGAAATGGCACGTCGTAAGGAGCGCAGCGAGGCAAACTTATATGTATCCATACATGTTATCCTAGAAGAATACTTTGAGGCGCAGCAAAAGCGGCGACTCTTCGATTTGGATAAAGTGCATCAACGTCTATTCAAGCTAAAACAAACGCAAACCGTCGAAGAGATGATGGACGCGTTCGTGAAGTCATTTGGCGTGCCCAAAGATCGAATGCGCGTCTGGATTATGTTTGCGGCACAATCGCAAAAATTTCTATACTTTGATTTCCAACGAGAGGGATTGCGTCCAATTGAGCAAATCGCTACTGCACAGAAACCGTGGGTGATCTTCTTAGAGTTGGCATCACCGCTTGTACCTGGCCGCCCGTTGCCGCCGTTCGATCCCAAACAAGAAGTGCTGCTATTCTTTAAGTATTATGATGCATGTAATAAGCGCTTAAATTATATTGGCTGCTCACAACAGCCACTTAGTCGGCGTTTAAGCGAAATTGTCTCGGAAGTGAATACGCACTTAGGCTTTGAGCCAGACACCGAATTAACGGTATTCGATGAATGTCACGACAAAAAAATTACCAATATCAATGAACCACTAGAGAATGTGCTTTACCTGCATCAGGAAAATCTACAGGGCAATATATTAATATTCGAAAAAGAGCACATTGACATCAAACTAGATTTGCCTACCGTCGAAGATTACTTCTTGGATTTGGTGTATAGAGTGGAAATCACATTCTGTGATAAATGCAATCCCAATGAACCGGAAATCGTACTAGAGCTATCCAACCGCTACAATTACGATCAAATGGCAAAAGCGGTCGCAGAGCGACTCAATACCGATCCAAACAAGTTGCAGTTCTTTATGTGTGTCAGTAGTTACAAAGAGACACCCGGCAATGCTGTTCCATACACCTTCAAGGTGAGTGCACGCAAGCAAGAATATTTGATTTATGCAAAATACAGTATTTCGTAAAAATAGTATTTCGGTGGCTTAATTGGGTTATTATATTCACTTCTTATAAGAGTTTGTTTGGTAGTTTTTGTGACTTAAGACCATAGATCATTTAATCCAACATGGATATTTTTCTCTGTTTCATATATATTTAATACATTTTTTACATTTAATTAAATAAAAAATTTAATTTCAGGGAACTGTTAAGGATCTAGTCGCGTACTGCAAGCAGAGCGCAACCAAAAAGCTCTTCTATCAAAGACTGTCACTAAGCATCCACGAACTTGACAATAAGAAACAATTCAAATGCATTTGGGTCTCAAATGATCTTAAGGAGGAGAAAGAGCTTGTACTGTATCCCAATAAGAACGAGAATGTCAAAGGTCTATTGGACGAGGCTGCCAAAAAGATACAATTCGCTGAAAATAGTCGCAAGAAATTGCGATTACTTAAAGTGGCAAATCACAAAATCGCCGCCATTTACAAGGAAGATATGCCGCTGGAAGCGCTACAAAAGACCAACGAAACGATGACGGCACAAAGTGCGCAGAAGACTTTCCGCATTGAGGAAGTGCCTGCCGAAGATATGCAGTTGGCCGAGAATGAGATACTCGTGCCCGTGGCCCATTACAGCAAAGAGATTTACAATTCCTTTGGTGTGCCATTCTTGATTAAAGCGAAACATAACGAACCATATGGTGCGCTAAAACAACGTATACAGAAGCGTCTGAATGTGCCCGATAAAGAGTGGGAGAATTTCAAGTTTGCCGTCATCTCAATGGGGCATCAGAACGAGGTTAACGACAATACACCGGTCGATATGGAGATCTATCGCACTTGGTCTAATGCACATTTGCCTTACTTTGGACTAGATCACATAAATAAATCCAGAAAGCGAACATCCTTAAATTTCTCCGAGAAAGCGATTAAGATTTACAATTAAATTAGAATGTAATTGGCGAAAAACAACAAAAACATAACAAAAGATGAAACTCATTGTGGGATCGATAATGTGTGCGTGCAAATAACAACAAAAACAAAAAATGTAATAACCGAGAAAATGCGAACTGCCGAATTAGAGGAAAATATATGCAGAGAGAAGCAAGAAAGCTGCGGGTATTGTAGCAGAATAATTTTAAAATGGGGCTTTATGGCTAAAAGACGAGTTTAAATTATAGCACGATAAACGATAAAAACAAATAGAAAACCATAACAAAAAAGTTGCTAATGTATGTCTTGTTCTTATGTTTACATATGCTGCATATACGCCGAAACAACAACAACACACGAACATACTTACAAATAGCTGCAACCGTAATGGCAACAAAACAAACTATGTGTGCAGCCAACAACAAAGTGAAGCAAACAAGTAACCATCCGACCGACCGACTACCAAACAACCGATTTGTCAATCAGCCAACTAACCAAAATAATAAAAACCAACAAGCGATTGCAACAGCGAGAAGCGTGGAGTGTTTGTGAATTGTTGTTTGCTTTTATAGTTTCGAATGTGTTTAAAAAGAGCTTCGCCTGCAAAATTTTCAAAAAACCCACAATCACACACACTCTCACACACATACAAACAATACATTACATATGAGTAATAAAACAAATGGAAATACAGAACACACCTTAACAAAACAAATAAACCGAACTTTAAAATTAAACTAAAATAAAAAATATTAAATTAAAAATGTACTACTTTAATATATATATATATATAAATATATATATAAATATGTAGATGTATATTTAAAAAAAACTTAGGCGTACGAATGTAAAAGAAAAACTAAAATTTACGCAAAAAAAATTGTTATGCGAGTAGCACCTAAGCAATCGACGACGGGGCTGGTGACGTTGGCTGCGACGTTTACTGGCTGATTGGAATCGACGTAGAACGTACGTTATTGGAGAAGCGCATTATAGTTTGCATTTTGTTTGACGATTATTCTGGCGCTCTATTCGCACATATAAATTGTAGAAGTTAGTTAGGTGCATTTCAGGAGCCACAACTGTCTCTGTATACCTCTACCTGATTTCATTTAGCAAATCAAAGCAATTTTACACTACCGCAGCATTATCCTTGAGTATCGCAACGCATGCGGAGTCGCTATATAAATGTAGGCAGCAGCAGCAGCAACAAAAACATCAACATGGAAACGCATTGAATGCAAGTAGAATAATTTGAAATATACATACATATACATAAACACACACTTATATATATATTATATTAAAGAGAAATAATAGAGATATACATAAATTGAATCTAACAAAACAAAATGAAACGATAATGATTTTTAGATAACCTATTTAGTACATCAGTGAAAACCCCAATACATACATACGTCAAAAAAAAATCGCACACACATTACTTTTGCGTCAAAAGGATTTTACCAACTTCCATGTCACACATAATCTTAAAGATTTCTGCTCATGCGTACTGATAAACAGATTTCTTTATTCCACTAACACCAACACATCCATATGAGAATGCTGCACAGTGATTATGCGTATGATTAATTGTTAGTGGTGGGGAGCTATTCGTACTTCTATTTGATATTGTGAGCTAAAGCCTTTTTTTTAAGTTCTGGGGCGGTTGTGTATATAATTGTAAGCAAAGCTATTTGTATGCACCGAGTATTCCGTTGATTATTGTTAATTTTTTTTATTAATACATATGTGTAATCAAAACTAATTTGTTTTAATTCATGCATTTTTTTCTAAAGAAATAGAATACACTCGACTAACTCAAAGCTGTTAGCTTTTATACATATCTTGAATTTAGTATGTTAAAATAGCTAATGTCAACCTAAGCAGAGGTAGGTATTTTAACTTTTAGTATAAATACGGATATGAATTTTATTATTCAATTGTAATTTGAAAATTTGCATAGAAAACATAGTCGAGTCTTGAAAATTATCCTCATGAACTTAAAGGGTTATATCCACTTGCTAGACCGAAAAAATGCTCTTTTGTCATTTTTTAAGAGGCGTTTTATTTAATTATTAAATAAAAAATGTGCATTTCCAGAATTTCTTGTACTTTAATAAACTGCGATTCACTTTTAAAAATTCTCTTGTTCCCGTAACCCATCTTCAGGACAACATCCGAAAATGGTGGTGGTGATGAAGATTTTTCTGCTCAAAATAATCTCGAACCCGAAAATCAATAAAATTTATTATTACTTAATATAAATGAATACTCGTACAGATAATGGTCAAAAATTAGTGAAAACATTGTTCTTGACAAAATGGTGTCTCCAAAAATGGCATGGTTTGTGATATCTATATACGCAACTTCAAGTTTTCACAGAATATTTTCAAAAATACATGTTAATTCTGTATATAAGAAAATTTTTTATTTTCAAATTCACAGGTGGATATAACCCCTTAACTATTCTTGGCACAACATTTCTTGAAATTTCAGGTTAGAACGAAAATTTACATTTTTAGAGATATTCCTTATTTAACGTGTCATTTTTATGTAAGCTGTTAAATGAATTACAGCAGATCAATAAACGCGCTTTTATAGGTTATTTCTTTTTTTCTAACTTATGTTTATCTTACAAAATTAATAGCGATTTATAATATTTTTGTTAAATGTAATATTTTTTGCTGGTGAATAATTATAATTTTGATATTTTCGTGTAGCAAAGAACGCTTTGGCTTCCAAATATTAACGAAATCTTAATTTTAAAAGTTAATTGATTAAAACTATAATATTTTATGTCTTCTGATATCCGGTTGGATGGCAGGTTTCGTCTAGCGGTCGAATATGTGAATGTTGCAATTTCAATTTTAATAATAATAATAATAAATAGTGTTTACATAGTGCCGTTTTTTTTTTATTATGTATGGTAAAAACAAATGAGAAAAAAAGTTTCAAAAGTAAACAAAAAATAATTACATACATCTGTTTTACTTAATACTAAGTTTATGTGTCTCAAACTAATTATACATACAACCAAATTAAAAATAATTTATAAAAAAAGAGACAAAGGCAATTAAGGTATGCATAACTAGGTATGATTTTAATTTATCGTACAACATATATGTATGTTTTGGAAAAGTTATTGCAATCAAAACAAAAAGAAAAACATAAAAATAAATGAACACTATTGAAAGCGAAAATGACGGAATATGCCAATTAAAGATTGTAAAAAATGTTGAAATATATTAAACGGTATATTAATCGAAAAAATATAACGTTTCAACATTTGACATTTTTTAGTTAATTTTAGAACATTCTTTTTAACATTTTAGTTATTGAAAATAATTGTGTAAAAATATGCGTATTATATAGTGTATTAACAAAAAAAATGTGGAAAACGGTTGGCCTCAAGGGCCATCCCTGCAACTTCCCTCTAATTTCATACTCTAACGTTCAAATTTCGCTTTATCCACTGCTTTTGAGCTCTTCTAAATTTTTCGTTTTCGATATCTAGCAAGTAAATCAACCGATTTCGACCCGGTTTGCGGCAAACGATGTGTTTCTTCAAGGTTTAGAACTGATTAGTTTTTGGTGTCGATCGGTCAAGTCGTTTGGAAAAAACGATTTTTCAAAATTTTTATTTTTGAGATTTCTCGAAATCTACTGATCCGATTGGGTCCAAACTTACACGAAATTCAAGTGCAATGACCCTTTGGAATGCCGTTTAGTTTATTCAAATCGGTTGAGCAGTTTAATAGTTATAAGAGGGTCACATACATCCACACACACACACATACATCCACACATACATACAGACATACGGACATCATCGTAGAAATGTTCGGGGAAGCTTCCTCGACCCTCAGAACGTCGAGATCTGTTGAGAACTCGATTTTTGCAAAATGGGGTGAAACCAATATCTTCCCGATTTTTAGAAAATTTTCCATTTTCTTAGCGGGAAGTTAAAAAAACACACTGTCAAAGAAACAAAAATATCGCTTTTGTAGCAGTCGGAATGAAAAGGGGGAAAAATGACAAAAAAACAAGAAAAAACGTTAGCTTCGGTTGCACAATTACAAAAGGTACAAGAACTTGCTTCCGATCATTCAGCTTGTATGACAGCAATATGCTGTAGTGATTCGATCTGAACAATTTCTTCGGAGATTCTATTATTGCTTAAGATAATAACTCGTTCCAAATTTAAATAAAAAAAGTTTTCCATACAAGAACTTGATTCCGATTGTTCAGTTCGTATGGCAGCTATGTGCTATAGTGGTCCGATATCGGCCATTCCGACAAATGAGCAGCTTCGTGGTGAGAAAAGGTTATATGCTAAATTTAAGTTCGATACCTCAAAAACTGAGCGACTAGTTCGCGTATATACAGACGGACGGACGGACAGAAAGACGGACGGACGGACAGAAAGACGGACATGGCTAAATCAACTCAGCTCATCATGCTAATCATTTATGTATGTATATATTTTATACTTGTAGGGTCTCCGACGTTTTCTTTTGGGGCCTACAAACTTCGTGGTAATCATAATATACCCTTTTCAGGGTAAAATAATAATCACTATAACCGTAGCGGTATTGAGGACCTAAAACATATTACACACTTAATCCAAGACAACATTAGATATTCATGTATTCCCACGACAGTCGGGTCTACGTGACCGGAACAAACCCAGATTTTTATTCGGCAATAGACTGTCAATCGACAGCATTCCTTACAATGTTTTTTTTTTGCTGCAACAAGAGTGGCTGGTTTTATTTTATTTATTTATTTTTATTATTTTTTTTATACTTTTTTTAATTATTATTATTTTTAAAATATTTAATTATTTATTTATACATATTTATGTTTAGTTATTATTATTATTTTTATTTGTTTTTTATTTTATTTTAATATGTGTTTTAGATATTCGTTATGTTTATTTACATTTTTATTTTTTTATTTAATACATTTATTTTTATAAGTATATGTATATTTTTTTGTTTATATATTATTTTTTTGGTTTGTTTCGTGAGTTGAAAAGTAAAACTTGCTGCACACTTCTAGCACTGAATTGTTGAATTCCGCTTGGTTGAATTCCCGTACCCATTAACCTACAATACAACACAATTAGCGGATCATTTCAAAAATTACAGCAATGTTTGCAACAGTAGTAATGCTTTTGGCCGATATAATTTCTATTGTGTTTTTTAAGATTTATATACTAAATAAATCCGCATATTCAAAGGGTTCAAAAAATACAATTTACACAGGTACTATTTAACTGCAGCCATTTTGCTTATTATAAAATTGATTTTTTATTTCAAAACTACAAATACACAATAAGGTATTGAACACAGTTTATTTAAAATTTTCTGCGTTTTAATATTTCCGGTCGCCAATTAACCGGATGAGTCTCTTCGCTCGCCTCATTGTCTTCTTTATAGATTTTTATCGTTTTGTCTGCCTCGGCCGTGATTAAACGTGAACCAGACTGATCAAAGCACATTGCAAAGATACCGGCTTCACTGTCCATTGAACCCGGCTGAACAGGCGCCTGGAAACGTTGAAAATTGTAGCCAGTACGCCAGTCCCAGAAGAACATTGTACCATTGTCACCGCCCGAAACTAATACACCATCCGCATTTACAGCCATGCAATTAACAATGGCATTGTGACCGGATATATTTTGCACAAAATTACCCTCAGGGCAGCGCCATTGCTTGATATTGTCCGGCGATGCCGAGGCAAACATATAAAGCGTTGGATGCAGCACGATACTACGCACAGATTTTTTGTGGTTCGTTAATGTGCAAACACTTTTGCCAGCTGCCAAATCCCACAAGCGTACTGTAGAATCATGTGAGCCAGTTATAATTTGCGGGTTAGTTGCTTGCGCAACTACACTGGCTACTGTATTTGTGTGGCCAGTCAGTGTGTGTATGTTGGCTTTAGTACGCATATCCCAAATGCGTGCTGTGGAGTCACGACCGCATGTGGTTAGAACATCGATTGTTGGATGTAACGCCATGGAATACACAGCGGACAAGTGACCATGGTAATGCCGTATGACTTTATTATATTCGAGGTCCCAACATTTGACCTGGCGATCTTCTCCACAACTGAAGAGGTAGGGGTGTTTAGCACTAACTGCTAAACCGCGAACGGTGCTCACATGTCCGGTGAGTGATAGTTTTAATTTACCACTGGCTAAATCCCAAATTTTTATAACACGATCACCAGCACCCGTTGCAAACCACTCATTACCAGGTTCTACAGCTATGCAGCGCACCCAGCCCAAGTGACCTATGGAAAAGGAATACAATATACATTTATTAAAATTTGTTGTTGATACTCTCTGATTTCGGGTATTTACCAGAAATAACTCGTGACAATTTCCATGGCGCATGCCATGTAGGTTTGGGAATAGTAGGTGCCTTTTTGGGTATTAATTGTACATTACTGCCCGCTATACCGGTGCGCGCCCCTGATGCGGCCACAAGTGATGTGTTACCATTTACATGCTCCACTCCACCGGTTGAAGTTTTCTCTGTTGTTGCTACTAAGGCGTTATTGTGGTCTCCAACCAAGTTGCCATCTGTGATGGCAAGTGGACGTTCTGGTCCTTCGAGTACGCCATCGGGTGCAGAAGCGGCTAATTGTTTTGCTTCAGCAACTTTAGAGACACGATCAAACACTAACCCATACGTATCTTTTGCTTTAATGGATTTCCGAATGTTAAATCTGAAAATTTTAATTTATAAATATCTGTTTAAGCTGAGTTTATTTTACTTACAGTTTTTCATCGATTTCAGGCAATGCGCTCTGATTTGATACAAACATGTCGTGTGTGCGTTTTAATGAACGAAATATTAGCGTATGCACGCTGTGGCGCTGCACTTCTTCCATTTTAGGTTTTATAATTATTATGTACTTATATATGAAATGTGTTTACACTTATTAAATTTAGTTAAATTAGAATTTCGCCTATTTTCAACCAATGCATCGCATGAATAATTTAATAAACAGAAACAAAATAAAAGGCAAAAATTAATCCACACAGGGTTGTATATTTGCTATATGTTGAAACTTTAACCCTTGTGTGCTACATAGAAGAAAATTGGAGGATAAAATAAAAACTTAATCTTTAACCCTCCTGTGAGGTTTGAAAAAAATGAATTCATATTAATTAACAAAAACTCCATCTTTAACCCTCCTGTTGATATAGTTCTGTTTAACACAAAAATATTTAGAAAACGTGTTAACTTGCTACAGTGAAAACAACATTCTGTGATTTTTTAAATATATATATTTTTTTAAACGATTTTTGTGGTCTTTTCTATTAATTGGCTGGCACAGGTGAAGCTGATGCCGCATTACTCGACGATGTACCTACTGAAGCCGAGGGTGCTGATGATGACAACGACGACGATGTGGACGAAGAAGCTGAAGATGTACCCGCAGCAGCTGAGCTATTATCTTGCGAGGAACCCTCGAAAAATTTCTCGATCTTAAATGGATCAAAAGAGGAATATAAATTAGATGCATTTTTTTAAGATAATGGCATAATACTGACCATTTTCTTTATGTAATTGCATAAAGACTTGTTGTTTGAAGTTGAAATGACATTTTCCACTCGATACGGTGGAGAAACAGTGACTTCATTGAATATTTGTATGTTGGTACCTTGCCAGGATACTTCATTCGACTAAAAGTAAGTTTTAGGATAAAAATTGGTTTATTTGAATTGAATACAATATACTAAGGTTATGTTATGTACCTTAAACTGCTTTGCAATTGTTCTGTACAATTCCTGTGCTTCTAAACTTACATCCGCATTTCTTGACTTAAGATAAGTTTGTCGTTGTTGCACTGTATTGCGAAGTCGAATTTTTATCTACAATAGTAAATTTTTAACGTTATTTTTTATTTATTGTTACGTTTCAGTTTTTAGATTATACCTGTTCCAAGTTCAGCTTTTGTGGATCCTCAACGAAGTTGCCATTGCACTCCTTAATCACTTTGACATTGCTGCATAGCGACAAATTCAGCACGTACACATCATTTAGTTGCTCTGAGTTTTTCGAACGACATTCTATATAAATAATACGGAAATTAAGGGAAACCTTACGCTCTATTTACGACACTACCGTGAAAGTAAACAATTTACATAAATTTAAAATTAAAATATTACCTACATAACCAAGTAAAGTTTTGATTCTTCACTATTAATTTACTTATTCTATTACTTAATCTACTAATGTCGTGTACAATAATATGATGTAATGCAATTGTTTTTGGATTCATCATTATTCAAATGTTGAATAATTAATATTAGTTTTATTTACTTTTCGCGCTCAGGCATAGAACTGAACACCTGTTTATATTGTCAACTATTAACCTATGTATGTACCACTACTACCATAACACTAAATTAATATTCATTGGCTCAAAAGTCAATACGGATGATTGACCTCAGTAATATTACTCGTATTGCAGCTTTCTCCAACTTATCGCAAATTCGCTTATATTATATATGAATATTATTCTCTGACTTAATTTTATGAAAAATTTTTAAGTTTTTCACTTTTTTGTTTTTGAAAAGGATACTTAAAATTAGCATTTTTGTGTTGTGATCAAATGCTAGCACTTCGCCTTCCACTTCCTCGTTGAAACAGGTCGTGCACAGCACAGATGATCCAATCGTGAAGCAATCATTTACCGCAGCCATTTTTAATGAAAGCCGCCACACAACTCAGCAATGATAGCGCGAATTTAGGTGAACTTTACTTTTATTTTATTATGATATCGCTAATCAAATTAACGGTGTTGATGTTTCTCGTTTAGTTTCGAATTGTAAGTCACCACAATTATAAACAATCAGCAAAAGCGTTTCCCAATGCAACAAAATGCGGTCGTGTCTCTTTTATCGCTCTTTGCTAGAGCTCCGTGCATACGTTGATTTGCGGAAGTATTTATTTTGTTGTTTTCGTTTCGGGTTTAGATTTTTGGTCACTTGCTTTCAATAACAATTAAGCATCAATTCACAACAATTGTGTAGAAGGTGTTAACTGTGGCCGTAACTATTTTCACGATTATTTTTATAACAATTATTACATACTTTTACTGGCACCACTGCTGCTGCCGCTGCCGCTGTTCGATCACTTTTCCCCTATTTACTTATGTAGTAATTTTCTGTGTTCTTGCTTTGCCTATCATTTATTTTTATTGCTCACATATGTATTATGCGCAACTTCGCTATTTGCAAGTTAAATGCAATTTGCAGTAAAATATGCGAAAGTAAATACGTTTTTTCACACAGTGAAAAATAATAATAAACGGCGAACGCAGACGTTATCCAAAAATTTTTTGGTTAAAGCTCTAAAAAACGAGCGAAGCGAAAGGAAGGAGATGGCAAGTTGAAAAAACACAATCCAAGTTTCTCTACGTACACGATATTCTTCCACACGCATACATCCGAAAGCTGGCGCGTGGCGAATGAGTAGTATAGATAAATGTCTAAATGACAGCAAATTTGTGTTTAAAAAACAAAAATTATTACTAATTTTTACATTTATCTGAGTAATCTCAGTAAAATATTGTACAATAATATAAGCATATTAAAATAATGTAAAATTATAATCAATATGACGCAAATGTAACGAATCTTACTTTCCTACTTTTTATGCATCAGAAAATTGTGTTGCAACCCTACCACCATTTCGAAATGTAAACAAAAGTGCCTCCGGTTGGCTGTGTGCAACAAACCTTATACGCGTTATCAAATACTTAATTTTGTTATCGGCAATTGTCCAACAACTATTGAGTTTTAAGGATATAAGTGGAAGCAGTTATATTTAGATGTGGCGTGATAATTTAAAACACCTTTCCTTTATTTTCAGTTAGCACTTGGAATAAGTTTTAATTTTCAACTATTTATTACCACGCCCTGACAAGTTGTTCATATTTAGCGCTTATTGTATTTTTTATGCACTATGCCATCATTAGTGCTTATAAGATCAGGAGCGGTTCTTTCCATAGTGTTACTTTTGCTATTACAAAATGTATACAGATCGGTAGGCGCTATTAACCATTGGATCCTCCAGGATGATGGACGCATTACACAAAAAATAGACTCTCCATTTTTGTTGCGTGAACCACATAATCTTGTAACATTTCTGGATCAAATACAACACAATGAGTACGTGGAGCAGTCTTATTTAAAATTGAGAAGACAACGCGAGTTAATTGCAGAACATTTACGTTATTCCAAACAATTCAGTGAGGATTTGGTTTTGCAGGCGGAACGTCTGCAGCCACATTTAGGCGCACAAACACAACCAATGCAAAATTTGATAAACTCGTTGGAAGCGCTTACTAAGCAAACAGCAAAAATGTATAGGTATGACGTTTATATAAAAAAAATCTAGAACCTTTCCATAAATTTACAATTTATATAGCTACTTGGAGTTCGTCAAAGATGAATTGAAAGAGTTTAGGAAGCTGAAAACACAAATTACCCAACATCATGAAAAATTGATACAACAGCAGGTTTAACATATAATTTTTAATTCTTGCACATAAAAGAAATTAATTAATTCAATACCCAAAGGTGCCTCTTGCGTCACGTCAATTAGATGCGAAGGTAAATAATGAGGATCTACTAAAACGAGGGCAATACTGTAGTACTCGGACTTTGTCGAGAACAGAAGATCCAGTTTTATTTTGTGATTTTTACTCCGATATGCAAATGCGTTTAGATGGTAAGGATGTGGACCCTGAAACATTAGAGCGTGATTGGCAGCTGACAAGCGAATCTGTGCTAAATCAAGTGACTAATTTGAATGTGCAACAACGCATGAATTTGGAACAAATAAAAGCTATGCGAGCTAAGAAAGCGGCTGCCGTGGCAAGTGCCAAAAGTAAGAAAGTGACGCAGGTTTCGTCAGCAACTGGCGATATTCCCGATACTAAAAGTAATGATACATAAGTAAAAAAGTCGTAATCGCAATACTTATAGCTTTAAAGACAACGCATTACTGTTTGTAAAAATTAAGTTTAATTTCTTCGATTGATATTTTTATGCGTTACTTATAAAATAACAGTTTTTATCTAATAAGTATCAATAAAACTTTATTATATTTCTTAAAATATCGCACAATAAAAAATATTTAGTCATTTGTTTATCAAGAAGTTAATAATCATCACAATGTTCCATAGTCAAATTTTAAACTTAACATTAAAACGACTAT